ACATGTGGGTCTGTCTCTGGACTGTATTCTGTACTGCTAATCTACTTACCTATCTTTATGTCAATACCACGCTGCGTTTTTTTTTAATTTTTAAAAAATATTTTTATTTATTTTTGAGAGGGAGAGAGACAGAGCACGAGTTGGGTAGTGGCAGAGAGAGAGAGAGAGACACAGAATCTGAAGCAGGCTCCAGGCTCTGAGCTGTCAGCACAGAGCCTGATGCAGGGCTTGAACTCATAAACCACAAGATCATGACCTGAGCTGCAGTCAGATGCTTAACCAACTTAGCCACCCAGGCGCCCCTTTGCCATGTTGTGTTGTTAAATGTGGCTTTATAATAAGTCTTTAAATCAGGTAGTTTTAGTCCTCAAACTGTTTTTTTTTTCTATTTCCAAGTTGTTTTGGCCATTCTAGTGCATTTCCATATGAAGCATCATATTGTTAATTTTTTAGGAAAAAAATGTGCTGGGCTTTTGAGTGGGGTTTTGTTGAATTTATAGACCAATGTGAGGAAAATTATTATCTTAACATTATTGAGTCTTCTGGCCCCTGAACACGTGTATCTTTTCATTTATGTAATCTTTAATTTTTTTATTCCTTATCATCTTCTTTTGTAGTTTTTGGTTATTTAAATCAGTCGAATGGAATAAGATAGTTCACTTTTTTTCCTGTATGTGCTTTGCTAGCTATTCACAGATAATCACAGTGAAAAGTGAGGCCAACCTGAAAGTGACATATATCATTTCAATTCACTACCCATTTGCTGAAGCTAATCATATGTAAGGGGGCCAGGAAGTACAATTCTTTTTTTTTTTTTTTAAACGTTTATTTATTTTTGGGACAGAGAGAGACAGAGCATGAACGGGGAAGGGGCAGAGAGAGAGGGAGACACAGAATCGGAAACAGGCTCCAGGCTCTGAGCCATCAGTCCAGAGCCCGACGCGGGGCTCGAACTCACGGACCGCGAGATCGTGACCTGGCTGAAGTCGGACGCTTAACCGACTGCGCCACCCAGGCACCCCTCTTTTTTTTTTTTTTAAGTTTATTTTTGAGGCAAGGGGAGGGGTGGAGAGAGAGGGGACAGAGGATCTGAAGTGGGCTCCGAATTGACAGTAGAGAGCCTGATGCAGGGCCTGAACCCACAAACCGTGAGATCACCACCTGAGCCGAAGTCATGACCAGTGCCGAAGTCGGATACTCAACCCATTGAGCCACCCAGGAGCCCCCAGGAAGTACAATTCTGCTACCCACTTGGAAAAGAAGCAAACCAGAAATATTTGGTGAACATCACTGATGATTATCATAACTTCCTTGGTTGCTGACCTAATAGCCATTCTCCATCCCTTATTACTGGCTAAGAGAACCCTAATTTTGTCTACTCTCTTCTGGGTGACATCTGCTACAGAAAAGACCACACTTTTCATGGTAATCCCATTCATTTCTCTTTGGTGGTTATTGGATTAGCCATATTCTGGCTACAAGACAAAAGGATGTCTACTCCTGGGACTTCTGAGAAGTCTCTTAGGGACATCAGAGGGACAACTGGGTGGCTCAGTTGGTTAAGGATCTGACCTCGGCGCAGGTCATGATTTCACGGTTTGTGAGTTTGAGTCCCACATTGGGTGAGCTCGAGCCCCACCTCAGGTGAGTCCCACCTCTCTCTCTCTCTTTCTCTGTGCCCCTCGTGGGATTCTGTCTCTGCCCTCACTCACTTTCACCCTCTCTCCCTGTCAAAAAAAAAAAAAAAAAAGGACATCAGAGGGGCACCTGGGTGGCTCAGTTGGTTAAGTGTTCGACTCTTGATTTCAGCCTAGGTCATGATTCATCAGATTGAGCCCTATGTCGGGCTCTGTGCTGTCAGCACAGAGCCTGCTTGGGATTCTCTCTCTCCCTCTCCCTGCCACTCCTCTACTCATTCTCTCTCTCCCTTTCAAAATAAATAAATAAATAAACATTAAAAAAAAAAAAAAAGGACATCAGGCAGTGGGCAGTTACTGTTCTTGCCCTTTATTTGGTGGTGTGTTATGATGTGATTACCTAGATATGCAACCAAGAGAGGAGTGGCAAACACTCTCAGGATGGCAGAGGGGTAAGGTGGACAGATGCTAGGTGACTGAGGGCATCATGTGCCATGTTGAAATAATCAACCCTGGAACCACCCTACCCTTAGACTTCTTGTTATATAAGGTAAGAAATGTCCTTACTTGGGTCTTTTTTTTTTTTTTTTTTTTTTTAAGAGAGAGAGGGAGAGAGTAAATGGGGCAGGGGCAGAGAGACAGGGGAACAGAAGATCTGAAGCAGGCTATGTGCTGACAGTAGAGAGCCTGATGTGGGACTCGAACTCACAAACTGTGAGATCATGACCTAGTGGAAGGCAGACACTTAACTGACTGAGCCACTCAGGCGCTCCACTTGGGGTCTTTTTTGCTTGGGTTTTCTGTCTATTGAAGTAAAAAGCATTGAACTATAACAGAATGCTAAGGCTGAGCCAGGAGCCAGGAATTACGGTAAGCACTTCATCTGCATAAAGCACTTCAAAAGCATATAATCTGATTTCATCCCGGTAATAACACTGTGACATGGGTGTTATCAGATCCATTTTATGGATGGGGAAATTAAAGCACAGGGAGGTTAAATAATTACATGAGGCTACACAATTCTAAGTGGTAAAAACAAGGATGAAAACTTTAGGTCTATTCTATGTCAAGGATAACTTGAAATCATTTGTAAATATCCTATACGTTCTCTACTTTAATTTTTTCTCTGAAGCACATGTAAAAAGAATTGTGGTGTTTCACCTTCAGCACTCAGATATTTCCAGGGGTAAGGAAAAATACCAGAGAATGTAGGAGCTGGTTAACCTTATAATTTATTGCTACCTACCTTTGGGCAAGTATTTTTTTATTTGAATGAACATATTCCCTATTCTTCGTAGGCACCAGGAATATAAGCATTTAGGCATTTAAAAAAAGCTTTAATTTTTTTTATCTTGAGAAAGAGAGAGAGAGAGAGCATGTGTACCAGGCTTGCAGGGTAGGGGAAGAGAGAAAGAGAGGGAGAGAGAAAATCCCAAGCAGGCTCTGTGCTGTCAGCATGGAGTTCGAAGATTTTTGGCATTTGTTTAAAAAGAAAGGAAAGAATGAAAGAATGAACACAATATTTAATCAATGCTTGATACTTACATATTATACCATATTCACAACAATCCTATAAAATGAGTATTCAATAAGATGGGAAACCTGAACTTCAGCGTAAGTAGTCAAGCCACAAAACTAATGAATGATGGAGCCAATAAATGATGGAAATAAGAAGTTTTGGAGTGAGATTGAAAACAATATGTGTCTGGCCCCATATAAAATGTTTTGTCACAGGGGCGCCTGGCTGGCTCAGTTGATGGAGTATGTGACTCTTGATCTCCCGGTTGAGAGTTTGAGCCCCACATTGGGTGTAGAGATTACTTAAAAATAAAATAATATAAAAGGAATTTAAAAAAATAAGTAAAAATGTTTTATCACAGCATATCTGGTGCATCCAGATATTATCTACCATCTGAGTTTTGTCTTGGAATGAAGCTGGCCTTCATTTTCTGCTTATTCAGAACTCATTCTAGTTGCCAACCAACCAAAGAGATTAGGAGTTCAAGGATTATGAAGAAAGTTTTCAGAGTGTAGAGATGAACAATCCCAATTCCAGATTCTAAAATATGGCTAACCAATGAATATTTCTCTGCACTTTTTAGTTGCTGATGAAACCGACAAACAAGATAACCAAGGATCCTGCGCTTGAGCTTATATTCTAATGAAAAGAGCAAATTATAAATAAATAAAATAATTTCAAACAGTGGTGAGAGTGATAACAGATTGATGTGAGAGAGCCTAAGTAACTGAGTCCTGCCTTAAATGACAAGAAAGAGGCATCCACATGGGGTACTGGGAGGAAGATTGCCCTATGCAGGAGGAAACTATACAAAGTGGAGAGTTCCCCTGACGGTAATGAACTTGGTGTGTACAAGGGAAAGAAAGAAAGTAGTGCATTTGAGCACTGTAAGTGAACATGAGAGTGGTGGAGATGAGATTCCTTGGAGGTAGGGCAGAGGCCAGTTCAGGCAGGGTCCTGAGACGGTCATGGTAAAAAATTGAGGGTTTTTAGTAGTTGCAATGGAGCACTATTGGAGTGCTTTATGTAGGAGGGTTATCCTACCTGGCTTATATTTTTAAAAAGATCACTCTGGTTGCTCTCTGCAGACTGGATCATGGGAAGGCCCGAGTGGAAGCAGTTAGGGTGGCTGCGACTAGGTTTATGTTAATGGAGTTGTATACAAGCAAGTCCAAACTCTCACAATCTTTGACCTTCCAAAATAAAGGGTTCCACCTTCCTATTCCATCATCTCAACTAACACTTATAACTATCATCTAACCATGTACTTGTTTATTGTCTGTCATTCTCATTTAAGATGGTCACATAAAATACGAGCACTCTGTTAAAACTCCATTTCAGGTAGAATAACTTATTTTTATTATACGTGTTCCCAAATATTGCATGGGAAACTCGAATACTAAAAAAACTATTCGTCATCTGAAATGCTAACAAACTGGGCAGCCTGCATTTTTATGAGCTAAATCTGGCAACGTGACCCCCACTAGAATGTGAGTTCCATATGGGCAGGAACCACGTCTGTCCGGGCCCCAACGTACACCTTGGGCTTAGCGTAGTGCCTGTCAGAACACTGTGGGAGCGCACACCTGCTCACGGAATGAATTAAGAAAGGATTTAAGGAAAGAATGAGTCAGTGAATAAAAGGCTGCACGAGAACCCCTTGGTGCGGGGGACCTGTGGGTGGGCACGCGGGAAGACAGAGAAAACCGAGATTGGCCTGCTGCAGCCGGGAAGCGGACGCGCTGAGGTCACCGGCGCCTGCGGCCCCGGTGACGTCATCACGCCCGCGCTGCCGGCCTCGCCTGGGCTTCAGCGGCGCCGGTCCTCCTCTGCTGTTGTGGTGACGGGGTGGGGGGGGTAGGGGTGGGGTCTCTGGTGACCCCGGCCCAGCGCAGACAGTCTGCGGAGCGGTCCAGTCCCGGCGGTGGCCTTCTGCGCCTGTCATTGACCGTCAGCCGGCAGGCCTGGCCGCTCCCCCGAGGGGAGAACTTTTCAGGGCCATGTCCAGGCCGAGCAGCGTCTCCCCGCGGCCGCCCGCGCCTCGCGGCGGGGGCGGCCCCGCTCCGTGCGGTCCTGGGGGCGGAGGCCGGGCCAAGGGGCTGAAGGACATTCGTATAGATGAGGAGGTGAAGATCGCAGTCAATATCGCTCTGGAGCGCTTCCGCTACGGGGACCAGAGAGGTGAGGTTCCTGACAGGGACCCCGCCGGTTGCCCCGCCTCCCCCAAGCCCGGGCCCACCGAGTGAAGGGGCTGCCTCAGAGGTGGGAGGGCAGACCCGGGCCGTCCCCCGTCCCGGCCCCTACGGCGGCCGGGGGCCACGCTTGGTGGCCCTCTGTGGGATGCGCGGCGTCCTGCGCGTCTGCAGGGTGAAGGCACTTGCCCGGCATTAATCAGGTGAAAAGAGTCGGGTTGCTCCTTTGCAGGGGGCGTTTCTTTCCCCAGAGAGAGGCCTGTAGGCAGCCTGGGGCGGCTTAGCCACAGCTTTTAGGTATTGGTAAGCCCCTACTTTTTTTTTTTTTTTTTTAAAGAAATTGTGGCAGCCTTAGCGGAGGCACGTTTAAGCTACAGAAGTAGAAGAGAAGGAAATCAGGCAAATAAATGCATTGGTAACACGTAGTGCATCGTTTACATCCCGAGAGCATCACCCTTAAACACTTAAAAACAATCAGACTTTGGTAGATGAAACGTTTCTCACACCTCTTACGGTTAGAAGGCCGCTTGTCCTGGGTCACACAGTGCAGAACGGGCAGCCGACCCGCGGTCATCCGTACAGCATACTGAGTGCCCAGTCCGGTTGGCTGGCCTAAATAGGGTTACCCGTTCGTTAACCCGGAGTTTACGGTCCCGAACAGGCAATGACCTGGACAGAGTGAACTTACATTACACAGAGCCTCAGCAATAGTGTTTAACAACAAATCCAGTCTGAGATAAGTCTGTACTGTTTTGAAAGCAAAGACCATGTGGAGTTTGACGTTGAGCATTCATAATGCTTGAGCATACTTCATCATGGAAGGAAGTGAGCCTTTTGTTAATGAAGCCAGTAAGGACTTAAGTTAAAAGAGTAAAAGATGTTCATCAGTCATCGTACCAATTGAAGATTCCAGCCCAAATAAGAGTAATCTTTGGTGAACATTAGAGCCTTCTATCATATGTTTCTGTAATTTTTATTAATATCGCAATTCTGGCAGACATTTAGTAGTTCTTGAATTAATATCTACTTTTCACGTAACCTATAAATTTGATTATTTGTATGATTTTTTCATATTTTACATTTATGTGTCTATATTGAAGTACCTTGAAAGAAAATTGTATATTCCCAAATGGTACTTTGTGTTTTGTTTGTTTTTTTTTTTTTTCTTTTTTTTCATGTAGAAATGGAATTTCCTTCCTCTTTGACCAGTACTGAAAGAGCCTTTATTCATCGATTGAGTCAGTCTCTTGGTTTGGTTTCTAAAAGTAAAGGGTAAGCTGATAGTTTTTCTTATTTAAAAAGAATTATTTGCCAAAAAAAAAGAGAAGTGTTTCTCATTACATTGAAGTAGTTATTACTGTTTTAGATTCACATTCTTAATTATACTGTATGTAGATAAACTGATTCATGTCTGTACCAAACTCAGCTTTTTCCTTTTCCTCTTATCCTTCCCTCTTTTGTTTTCCCTTAGAGATTAAATAAATAAATAAATAAATAAATAAATAAATAAAATTTAAGATGTAAGAAAAATAGCTTAAAAGATGAAGTTGCTTGCTTGAGGAGGATGTTTTCTTTTTTCATAGAAACTAAGTCTCATTTTTTAAAAAGAGTGGATGGCCTAAAGATAGTAAGTACAATTATTTACAGAACTATTTCTTTTAAGGTTACCATACTGTAGTGGTAACTTTAGAATACATAATCGTTTTCTTTCCTACCAACTTAAGAATCTTATGATTAGAAATGATTAAATAGAATGGACCAGGCAGAAACAGTATGTATTTTTTTCAGGGTCCCTCATCTGTAGGGGGGAAAAGTCACTTGAACCATCCAAATTGAAGAACTCTAAAATTATGTGGAATGATTTCATTTTGGGAATAAGGATGGTGGGGTTGATATATAGCAGAGTTTCTTGGTATTGGCACTATGAACATTTTAGACTGGATAATTCTTTATTGTGGAGGGCTGTCTTGTGTATCGTAAGATATTTAGAGGTATATCTAACCGTATTGATATGTGCCAGGAACACCTCCACCCACAGTTTTAACAACCAGAAATGCCTCTAGACGTTGCCAGAATGTTCTGGGGAGCAAAATTGTGTCTGGTTAAGAGCCACCGAGAGGGGGAAAGGAAGATAAAATTTCGGCTTACCAGGGTTTAGGTTAAGAAGAGAGAAAACAAATGACTGTTAGGTTAATATATTAATAAACAACAGGAATGTCTTAAGATGAAAATATTTGGTGTAGGAATGGCTGGTATTTGAATGCCCACAGTGATACATTACTGAGTGACACGGGATTTAGCTTAGGTGAATGTGCCTTTTGTTTGTTTGTTTTTTGTTTCTCTGTTTCAGCTTTTATTTATTTATTTTTAATTTAATTTATTTTTTAAATTTACATCCAAGTTAGTTAGCATATAGTGCAGCAGTCATTTCAGGAGTAGATTCCTTAATGCCCCTTACCCATTTAGCCCATCCCCCCTCCCACAACCTCCCCAGTAACCCTGTTTGTTCTCTGTGTTTAAGAGTCTCTTATGTTTTGTCCCCCTCCCTGTGTTTATATTTTTCCTTCCCTTCCCTTCTGTTCATCTGTTTTCTATCTTAAAGGCCTCATAGGAGTGAAGTCATATGGTATTTGTCTTTCTCTGGCTAATTTTGCTTAGCATCATACCCTCTAGTACCATCCACATAGTTGCAAATGGGGTGAATGTGCCTTTTGAACATTACTAAGGCCAGTGTGCGAAGCAATGGTTAGGTTTCAGTCATGCCCATAGCATAGTCCTCTGTGTAGGTTAAATACAGCACTTGAAAATGAAAAGAGTACAGGGCCATAATCCTTTATCCAAGAATACCTGGACTAAGTAGATTTTGAGATTCAGATTTTAGGAACATTTTAGGATTTTTTTGCAGTATGTTATGTAACAACTCCTCGTAAGGTGCAGGCATCACCTTTAATCACAGTATTTCTGCCAAAAAATATAGGCTGTTCACAGTAAGATAAATACTGGAAATAGCCTCGTGTCAATGTAATCAGGTTTTGATACCAACTGAAGTTGTTGCTGTCAACTTTAAAACTGGCAGTTATTTTACCAGCAGAAGATGGGTTTCTTTGGAAGTAGAGAGTTGCCATGTGGGACAAGCAGGCTAGTGTACAAAACCATCCGAAAGTCCAACAAACAGAAGAGAAGAACATTATTTTATGGAGAAGAAGGAGGAAGTTGGGAGGGGTTGTTTTGAACAAAAGTCCATTGGAGAGAAGCAAGAAATTCAGGGTGATGTTGGTTTCTCAATTGGCTGCGTTGCTGGGGTGGTTGATTTCTTGTAGAAGATGCAGTGTACATCTTTTCCTGTTGGGGCTTGTAATTGAATCTACTTTCCTCTGGAGGAGTCTTCTGTTGGGTCTGTAATTGACAATTTTTCCTGTAATTGATATGAGTGGTTTGGCTTTTCCTACCAGCCTCCTCTTCTAGCATCCCCAGTCCACTTTAATGAGGTTTCCTTTTATTAATTTTCACATTGCAAACCTAGAAAGATCTTCCAGTTTTCATTGTTGTTTGGGTTGAAGAGTTGCAGATACGAGGGGTGCCTGGGTGGCTCAGTCAGTTGGCTGAACATCTGCATCCGACTTCCACTCAGGTCATGATCTCACGGTTTGGGGGTTTGGCCCCGCATTGGGCTCTGTGCTGACAGCTCAGAGCCTGGAGCCTGCTTGGAATTCTGTATCTCCTGCTCTCTCTGTCCCTCCCCTGCTCATTCTCTGTGTCTCTCTCTCAAAATATACAAACATTAAAAAAAATATTAAAAAGAAAAAGTTGCTTTTAGAGGTTTCAGGTCTGTCTTACAAATGTCTGTTGTAAAGCAGCTATATCATTTCTATGGTTAAACTGTTTTTTTTTTTTTAATTTTTTTTTTAACGTTTATTTATTTTTGAGACAGAGAGAGACAGAGCATGAACAGGGGAGGGTCAGAGAGAGGGAGACACAGAATCTGAAACAGGCTCCAGGCTTCGAGCTGTCAGCACAGAGCCCGACGCGGGGCTTGAACTCCTGGACCTCGAGATCATGACCTGAGCCGCAGTCAGCCGCTTAACTGACTGAGCCACCCAGGTGCCCCTAAACTGGTTTTGAATTATAAATAGTTAACTTAGAAAAGACCATTAGAAATTACTCTTAGAGGGGTGCTTGGGTGGCTCAGTCGGTTAAGTGTCTGTCTGACTCTTGATCTCAGCTCAGGTCTTGATCTCAGGGTCGTGAGTTCAAGCCCTGTGTGGGACTCTGTGCTGGGTGTGGAGCCTACTTAAAAAAAAGAAAAGAAAAAGAAATTACGCTTAGTAAAGAAGTCCATTGGAATAGTCTACCTCTGTTTCTGTTCAGTAGCATAACTGTTTAAGGGATGATCAGAATGGAGAAACCTGGGGAAAGGTAGAGAGCAAGATAGAAGCTATCAGGACAAGAAAAGGTGGGTGAGAAAACACTGAAGAGACAGAGAGAGGAAAAAAGATGCTAAGGGAAACAAGGCAACCCTGCCTTCTTATCTACTCCGTAGTTCCTATTCCTAGTGCTCAGCAAGGCCTCTTAGGATATTTCTTAGTGCTTTCCCTCCCCAATTTATCATTGATTAAAGGTAGTATAGTGTTTATCTAGTGGTCCTTGTGATTTTCAAATGCCTTTACTTGTTTTCATATGTATGAAGAACTTCTTACACGTTCTTTCTTTTTATTTGCATGAGAATGTGTACGTGACTTATATTTTCATGGGTTTTTCTGTTCACTTTTGAGTAAAGGTTTTTTTTTTTTTCTTTCTTCCCCCAGTGCCTAGCATAACTTCATTAACTTAATAAGATAGTTTTTCTGCCTTTTTTTTTTTTTTTCTTTTGTACCTGGCATCATGGTTCCTTAATATGTATTTGAGAGAGAGCCTGTGGAGGAAAAGGCAGGAAACCTGGATTTGACTCCTAGTCTGTTATTACCTGGTTCTCTAGCTTTGGTCATGGCCCTTAACTTAAAAAAAAAAAAAAATTTTTTTTTAATGTTTATTTACTTTTGAGAGAGAGAAAGAGACAGAGAGTGTATGCTGGGGAGGGTCAGAGAGAGAAGGAGACACAGAATCCGAAGTAGGCTCCAGGCTCTGAGCGATTAGCATAGAGCCCTACACGGGCTCAAACTCCCAAACTGAGATCACGACCTGAGCCGATGTTGGACGCTTAACCAACTGAGCCACTCAGGCGCCCCTAAGTAGGTTATTTAATCCTCACAATAGTCTTAACCAGTAGATTCTATTAATAATGTCTGGTACCTGTATAATAGATGGGACATTTCAGGTTTGGAGAGGTTAAGTGATTTTCCCCAAGGTCACATGGCTAATGAGTGGCAGAGCCAGGATTTGAATATAGCTAATGTTTAGTTTTTGATGTTTACAGTGAGTTCATGGTGATGTCCTAGGAGCAGTGAGCAGTTAAAATCGAATTATTAGATAGGTCTCATCTTTAAGTTGCTTATAGTCCAAAGTCACAGAATGAACAAATGTACCACAATTATAGTGTCCATGATATGAGAGCAACTTTGTTTAGGGACAAAGCTAACTGGTTGGTTTATTAATTTCCACATAGTCATAAAAGAAAGTACAAATTAGGATGATAATAGACTTTAATAAATTTGCAATTCTGTATTACAGTATAAGGAAGAAAATGGTTTGGAGTTAGGTCTTTGCATCTTTCTGCATAATGGAAGTATAAACTAAGGAAATAGGAAATTACACATTTGCAAAGCATCATACAAATATGTATTATTTTTTGAGAGATTAGGTCCTTGGTGGTTGTGAACTTTTTAAGTCATTTCAGATTTTGGCTCCTTAGCTGATTTTTTAAACTGTTTATGGATTTGGAGAGTGGAGAATAATAAGGCATAGGGTGGTATTTGAGTTAAGTGTTGAGTAACATACTGTGTAAATTGATAAATTGATTAATATTAAAATTGCATCAAATTTGATGAGTTATTTTTCCTTAAAAGGAAGCCAAAACTTAATTATAGCATGTATTGATTACTTTCACACTTTGAAAGTTAGATACTATGATGTTCATGCCTATAATTTTAGCACATTTACTTTTATATTAAAAATTGCATATGGAGCTTACATTTCATTATTTGAAAAAATTATTGTGGCATTAATGTATTTAGCATCTCTTCCACATTGTGCGGCTAGTTTCTAGTTAACTTTGCTTTGAAAAGGAGTCTCTTTTTTTTTTTTATTATTTTTTTTAATGTTTATTTATTTATTTTTTTGAGAGACAGAGTATGAGCAGGGGAGGGGCAAAGAGAAAAACACAGAATCTGAAGAGGCTCCAGGCTCTGAGCTGTCAGCACAGAGCCCGATGCGGGGCTTGAACTTACAAGTGGTGAGATCATGACCTGAGCCGAAGTCGGACGCTCAACCTACTGAACCACCCAGGTGCCCCTGAAAAGGAGTCCCTTAATGGTTTTGTTCAAAGAGTAGTGCCACTTTGGGATGAAAGCAAAATTACACCTCAGCGTGTTTACATAGTAGGACAAATCTCTGCTAGATTGAATGTTTTCATCCTCAAAACAACGATGCAAATATTTTACCAAACATTTCATTCATCTTTTTATCATTTATCAGTGTCACCGTGGAGCTAAATATGGTAGGAATGAGCACTGAGAGCTACAAGTAGAATCTTTTACTAAAACATGAGAACTACCAAGTTGATAATATCTTTCTGCCCCCTCACCCATGTTCAAAGTGAATTCAGTACATTTTAAATGGTAATGGTTGAGTACTCACACATGCTTAGTTTGGGTTATTTTTGTACATAAATGATGTATTCTTAGTAGGCAGGCTCTGTTAGGAAAGTTTGAATCTGACTGATTTTAGTTGTGAGCTTATTGAGGAGAGTATGTTTTACTTAACTGTAATCCCGGCTTCTTGCATAGCGCCTGGCATAGAATAGGGGCTTAATATATGATTAATGATTGATTGAATGAATGGAATAAAATTAGTTACAGGTGAAATATAGCATAGCTTTCCCAAGACAACTTCCAAGAAAATTAAAGCATCTTGGAACTGGCAGAAATAGTAGAGATTTTTGAATTAAGTTGTATACAGTGTCAGAGAGATAAAATGGTTTTTGATCACACAGCTAGTTAGTTGAAAGATTTTTTACTAGCTGAACACAAGCCTACCGAGTCTTGCTCTAGTGATCATTCCAGCACACTTCCAGCCCTCTGTAGTTAAAATTTTTATGAAGTAAATGGGGAATGGATGATTAAGTCTATAACGACTGTGCTGAATTTTCAGAAAGGTCCATAGAAAAGAACCTACTACAGAGACCATCTTTTAGAATCCAGCAATTGTCATTTACCATGGAAATAGCTGAAATTCCTAGATCAGGTTAAATTTAGTTACTTCATTTTTATCCCATAATTTCAAGATGACTAAACACTTTTTTAAAAAGCAGATGACAGCACTGAAAGCTTATAATCCATTAACGCATTCCATAAAACGTTTCCAGAAGTTAAAAACCTTGGTAAATCAAAAGTCTCACTTAAGAAGTCTTAGAGAGCCAAAACTGTATAGGTTAATCTCCAGTTTTATGTTATTTTTACGGTGAAGATTTTGTTGAAAATTTTAAATCTAATGAAAATTAGAAAAATTGTACATATACTTACCATTGTATTTGTGGCTTTGTTGCTCATTTCTGTAATATAATAGTGACATTAACAAATGATAGAACCTTTTATGAAGTATTTTGGGTAACTTTTTAAAAATAAGTGATTTTTTTTCCCCAGACTAAAATTATAATAACAGCTTTAATTCATTTAATGCTTATTCTGCTCAACTTACTCAAACATTAACAGATGTTTTCCCTTAACATGAATTATTTTATTTAATCATATGAATAATCATTTGAGGCAGGTATTATTATTATCGTAGGCTCAGAGCTGTTAAATAATTTGCTTATGGTCCCAACAGCTACTAAGTGGTAGAGCTAGGATTCAAACCCAGGTTGGTATGCTTTTAGAGCTTGCGCTCTTTTCTAGTACTATATTGTACTGGATTATAGACATGCATTATTAAATCGTTCAAAACACGTTTGAGGACTTCCTGTGTGTCTAACATTATACCTAGTACTCTAGAAGCTACAAAAGTCAAAAAAGACATTGTTAGTCTGGATCAGTTGAAGAAATAAATATGCCTCCATCAAATCATTTGAGAACTGTTATAAATCACCATTACAACTGAAGGCTAGAGCCAGAAGCTTTGAAAAATTTGTTTTTTTCTCCCTGTATGCATATAAAAATACTTATCAGTAATGTTGATTTATGCTTTTTTGGTCCAACCACTAAGCTTGGTTCTTTTAACAGGTTTTCATGGGATGTGACATTACCAGCATACTATGGAAACGTTCAGTGGGATATATTAGTCTGTACAGTGAACCATAACTTTTTAATGATCATTTTTAGATTCTGTTGTTCAACAGATTGGTTTTCTCCCTCTGTATGCTTCCAGCATATATTAACTGGTGATGTTTCATCCACCATGAAGTCTGCTAAGACTAGACTTTAACATTTGTGGGTAAGTAAGCCATTTTTTGCAGTTTAAAAACTGGATTGGTAGCATTTTGAAACTTTAATTGAAAATGGTCTTTTGGCCACTTCAGCACCAAACCCCTCCTTATTGAATTTTTGGGGATTTTCAGCATCTTCTCACAAAGCATTTTGATTTTTTCCAATGTTTTGCTTAAGACGTGTTGCCTAAGTAGGCATACATCATATGTGAACCAATTGACTATATATAGTAAATAAATGATTTTTATTAATATTCAGAAAGGGAGCAAATAGATACCTAACTGTGAAGAAGAAAGATGGATCAGAAACAGCTCATGCAATGATGACCTGTAATTTGACTCATAATACAAAACATGCTGTTAGGAGCCTAATTCAAAGATTTCCTGTCACCAATAAAGAGCGTACTGAACTTCTGCCTAAAACAGAAAGAGGAAATGTGTTTGCAGTTGAAGCTGGTATGTATTTTCTGGGGAAGCTTCCTTGTTTATCCTATTAATTGATGACTGTTCTTTTTCCATTTTAAATTAATTAAAAAAAACACTAAGATGCAGTAAGATTTCTCAGTTTGAATAGTCTGTTAGAAATGATAAAGAACTGTGAAAATTTGGGAATGAAATGCAGTGTTAAGGCATGTCATGAAGTTAGACAAATCTTTAAGTGTCACAGTAATAGCTATCATTTTTGGAGCACTTATTGTGTGCTAGGCAGGATACTAAACTCTTTATAGAGGGCCTCATAGCAACCCTCCCAAGGTAAGAATTTCCTCTATTTCAAGGGTGAGTAGACTGGGGTGCAGAGCAGTTAAATAATTTGTTCAAGGCTACTCAACCAGCCCATAAACGGCAGAGCTGGGATTTGGCTTCAAGGTCTGGACTTTGCTGTATTAATGTTGCCGAGGCACGCTAATGAGTGCGATTTTGAACTGGGGCTTTAGCTTCTGGTAAGAGGACAGAGTCTTCATTACACTAACTTGCTGAAAGCTAGATACGTGATACATTTAGGTTATAGAATGAAGCTGTAATTTTATTATTTGGAAAAATAACTTCCTAGTGAGAAAACCATTAATAACCTAAAGCAACAGATTTCATAATTTCCATCGTCTGTTGGAGTAGGTTTGCAGAGTGTAGCAAACACATGGTCTTAGATAGCGAGGGAATTAAGTTTTAAATACATGCACACAAAAATGTTTTGAATTATGTGAAGAGTATAAAACATTATGCTTTTTTATTCTTGTCTTATTAATAAAATGTAGCTGTTTGCAAAAATTCTCAATTAGGAAATTTGTTAAGCATTAGGACTTTATGTTTACACATATCATTCTATCTGTTCACATAATCTTACATAGTTAGCTTTAAACACAGAGAATATTTTTCTTTTCATAACGTGTTTTCATATTGTACATAACAGACTTTATAAATAATGCACATTGTTACCTACTTACAAAATTTTAATTTTTTGTGTCTAATTATTGATAGAAGCAAGCCTGAAAACTGTTTTAGGATATCAGAATCACGTTTTATTTTTAATGGGTATGGAGTGATTGATTTTTGTTTGTTTGTAAATGTTATGCACGAAAAACACTTTTAGCAATTTGCTTTCTAATTACTATTGAAATTTATAACTTATTTTTTAAAGAATATTAAGCATAGAGTGCAACACTAAGCTATTGCTTGCTAACTTTATACAGACTGAATAGAGAAATTACTTATCTTTGTGTTTACCGCTTTTTAAAAAATGTTGATCATAAATGTTTTTGTTTCTTATTCATTTTCAAAGAAAACCGGGAAATGAGCAAAACGAGTGGGCGACTCAACAATGGCATACCTCAGATTCCAGTGAAAAGAGGAGAATCTGAATTTGATTCTTTCAGGCAGTCTCTGCCAGTGTTTGAGAAACAAGAAGAAATTGTTAAAATAATTAAAGAAAATAAAGTAGTTTTGATCGTAGGAGAAACTGGGTCTGGAAAGACTACACAGGTTGGTTTCTTCTTTGTTGTTTATGGAAGAAAAAATATTTTTTTCCACATGGCAGTTTTATAACAAATTTATACTACATGTATTTTAACAAAAACAACCCCTTTTGGGTACTTTAATGTTTATTTCAAAAATAAATTGTTACTGGGAGTATGTTTTGAGAATTGGTAGAAAGGAAATGTTTTAAAATATTTTTAAACTAGCACCTTGGGCCTCCATTTAAATAGAAGCGGGGATGTGGTTTGGCATCATGAAAGGAATATGGACTGGGCTAGTCTTGTTAACCTCTGTGAGCCGGAGCCCTCATTTGTAAAATGGAGCTAATACTTGCTCCCGTTCACCATGACGTTTAGAGAGGTCTATAAAGTGCCTGTCAGTGTTTTGTGCATAGGAGTTAAACTAACAGCAATATTAATAATACCAAACGTTAATATAAAGTTGACTGTAGACGTTGAGGCCTGCGCAGGTCCCAACCTGTCTGTGGTTTGGGGTTGCTATCTGCCTCATAAAGGAAAGTAGAGGGTTTATCTTCTGGGAAGACAAAGTCGTCTTATCCTCTGAAAAAGCCTCCTACATAGTTAGCTTTGGCTCTTCTGGGAATAGGGAGGCAGGGATTGAGGCCTCCTGAGTCTGGGTTTTCAGATGAGGTAGAGAAGACCGTGTTTATAACCAGAAAGGTATTTAGTGGTGTTTTAAATATTATGCCTACATGCCTGTTATCTGTTAGATATCCTAAAAATGATTTCTCTCAGTGTTTTGTTTGCTCTGTAGCTTTGCTTTGTGGTATCTTGTGTATTAGCTTTACTAATTATTTAGTCACATCTGTCAATCTTTTTTTTAGGGCTTTGAGCCATGCTGAGAAAAGCATTTCCTATCCCAAGATTAAAAAACATTTTCCTATAAATACTTTATTCTAGTATTTTTGTATTTATAGTTTTAAAAATCCATCTGGAATTTATAATATCATGTCAGGTAGGAATCCATCTTACTGTTTTCTTCATGTTAATATCTAGTTGTTCCGATATAATTTTTATTTAATTATCTTTTCCCCCTTCACTTAAGGTAGCCCTTTTGATCAAAAGAAGTTTCTATAGTACTTGGGTCTATTTCTGGAATTTTTGTTATCTGTCTTTAATTATTTTTGCACCAGGATCCCTCTTTTTTGCTTTTTGTCGTTTTACAGTATGTAGCATAATATTCCAGTTTATTATCTTCTCTTCTTAAATATTTCCTAAGAGAAAATTATTTCCTTAAATATTTCCTATTTGTGTTCATTTCTGCTTCTGTATAAACTAGTCAAGTTTAAAAAAGTCCTAGAGGCTGAAACATGCATGAAATGATGCTCTCTCTCTCTCACTTACAGTTAAATGAAATCAAAACAATGATTATATTTTTCAACTATCAGAGGGGCAGAAACTAAAACATTAACGATACGTATTTGCATAGGTGTTGGGAAAGCAGCATCTTCTGCTTTATGGGCAGGAGTATAAATTGTTTTGGAGGGCGATTTGATTTTTTTTTTTCTTCAACGTTTTTTATTTATTTATGGGACAGACAGAGACAGAGCATGAACGGGGGAGGGGCAGAGAGAGAGGGAGACACAGAATCAGAAACAGGCTCCAGGCTCTGAGCCATCAGCCCAGAGCCTGACGCGGGGCTCGAACTCACGGACCGTCAGATCGTGACCTGGCTGAAGTCGGACGCTTAACCGACTGCGCCACCCAGGCGCCCCTTGGAGGGCGATTTGATACTACTTCTCTCCAATTTAAGTTTACATACTCTTGGGGTGGCTGGGTGGCTCAGTTGGTTTAGTATCTGACTCTTGATTTCAGCTCAGGTAATAATCCTGGGGTCGTGGGATCTAGCCCTGTGTTGGGCTCTGTGCTGAGCATGGAGTCAGCTTGGGTCTCTCTCTCTCTCCCTCTGCCCCTCTCCCCTGTTCTCTCTAAAACAAACAAACAAACAAACAAACAAACAAAACCCACCTTAAAACATTTACATGCTCTTTCATTTGACCTGTGTGTGTGTGTGTGTGTGTGTGTACACACACACACACACACACACACACACCTTTTTTTTTTAATATTTATTCATTTTTGAGAGAGAGAGAGAGCATGAGCAGGGGAGGGGCAGAGAGATAGAGAGAGACAGACAGACAGACAGACAGACACAGAATCCAAAGCAGGCTCCAGGCTCCGAACTGTCAGCACAGAGCCCAGTGTGGAGCTTGAGCCACAAATCATGAGATCATGACCTTAGCCAAAGTCGGACACTTAACCGACTGAGCCATCTAGGTGCCCCTGCATATATATCTTTATAAAAGTTTGTGAAGATATTCACTGCAGCAATTTTTATAATAGCAAGCAGTAATATCAGTAACTTAAAACAACTAGAAATTATTTAACATGATATTTGTTAAATTATAGCACATCCCTAGGATGGAATATGCAGCTATTAGAATGGATTAGGTAGATCTGAGTATTAAGTGAAATCTGCAAATTTTATAAACATTAAGTACGGTAATCGCTTTGTGTGAATAAAAGCCTGTTAATATACACAAATATCCTAAATTGTGTAAACATTTTTTCCCTGAAACAGTTCATAAGAAGTAATAGTTATTTTTTAAAAATAGTTATTTTTGAAAGAGAGAGAGGGAGGGAGAGAGAGAACGTGAGTGGGGAAGGGGCAGAGAGAGAGGGAGACACAGAATCTGAAGTAGGCTTCAGGCTCTGAGTTGTCAGTACAGAGCCTGATGCGGGACTTGAACTTACGAAATGTGAGATCATGACCAGAGCCAAAGTCAGATGCTTAACCGACTGAACCACCCAGGCGCCCCAATAGTAGTTACTTTTTTGGAGAATACTGGTAGTGGTACGGCAAGAAAGACTTACTTTTTAAGTCCTTCTGACATGTACATCCCAGTATTAGGCTATTTTTGCTTTCTTTATGCTTTTCACTATTTAAAAAAATTCCAGTGGAATTTTGATTGTTGTTTCGTTGGCTTTATAGAATAATTTGGATAGAATTGACATTTTTGAAGTATTGATTATTTCTACTCAAGATTGTGTCCTATTTCTTTATTCAGTTAGTGTTTTTTAGTTGTATTTTATATTTGTGGAATTTGTATTTGTGCAAGCCTTATTTCTCTGTGAATTTGGTTTTTTTTACAAAAAATTTTTTTTAAAGTTTATTTATTTATTTGAGAGAGTGAGCAGGGGAGAGGCAGAGATAGAGATAGAATCCCAAGCAGGCTCCTTGCTGTCAGCACAAGAGCCTGAGGTGGGGCTTGATCCTAGGTACTGTGAGATCATGACCTGAACTGAAACCAAGAGTCAGATGCTTAACCAGCTGAGTGCCCCTGTATGAATTTGTTTTTAGTATTTTCATTTTAGTTTCTCTTGTGAATCAGATCTTTGAAAATTACATTTCCTAGCTGATTGTTAGAAGTTACAGAAAAGTTGTTGATTTTATGATTATTTGGACACGTTACCAAACTTTCCTAATTCTAGTTGTTTTTCAGTTGTGATTGACTTGGACTTTCTGGGTATATAGTCATGTCATTTTATAGTACTTTAAAACTTTCATTTCAGATTCCTCAGTTCCTTTTAGATGATTGCTTTAAAAATGGTATCCCCTGCCGTATATTTTGTACCCAGCCAAGAAGGTTAGCAGCTATTGCTGTGGCTGAAAGAGTTGCTGCAGAGAGAAGAGAAAGGATTGGTCAAACGATTGGATATCAGATCCGATTAGAAAGCAGGTAACCATGGTTCTCCTGTAGCCTAGCATTCTTAGAAAAGATTAATGTTTATATTTCATTAAATAGGGACTATGTTAGTCAAAAAGTTAGGTGATCATTTTGCTCCAAGTAAGTCTTTGATAGGATGTTGAGGTTATGTCTGAACTTCATAAGGTTTTGAATACATAGTTGAAGAAAGAGTTCGGGCCATGGATACAAATCCCATTTCATAGGGGGATTTATGATCGAATACAAGTTATTTTGCCTCCTTAAGGTTTTTTTAAAAAAAAAAATCTATTTAATGGTTTCTTAAAATAATTAATAAAAGCCTGTTAGTAATTAAAATTTTGTGAGTTCGTCAGGTATAAAATACATATTTCAGTAACTTGGCTAATAAAGCATACAAACTGCTATGCTATATTAGTAACTTTAACATTTATAAAACTTACATATGAGATTAGCATTTAATGTAATCATGTTTTAATTACATTTAAGAGTTGTAATTGTATGCTTTATTTATTTATTTATTTTTTAAAAAGGGTTTCTCCAAAGACACTTCTGACATTTTGCACTAATGGGGTATTGCTTCGTACATTGATGGCGGGAGATAGTACATTGTCGACTGTGACACATGTTATTGTGGTAAGAATATTGCTGAGTTTTGCCGTATACAACTCAGATTGCTTAAAAATTTGAATATGTAATTAATTATATTTTTAGAATAGAATAGGGGTGAAAGCCAGTTTTTTTTTGAACAGGTATTATAATGAAGTTACTTTTTATTGCCTGTAATTATTAGAAATAAATTTTACTTGTATTAAGTAAAGAATTCTTACCATTAGGTTTTATGAGGGCAAATTAAATGTATAGATAGATTTTAAAAAAGTGCTTTTTATATGTGAAAATGATACAACTACTTAGCGTTCCTCAGAATGGGGTGAAAATTTTCTTTTTTTTCTCTCTCTGCTTAGTCATCTGATTCCACCTTTGGCTAATATGTATTTCCCAGTCTTCGCTTTATAGTCATTTAACTTCATAGTTAAGCTGCTAAATTAAGTAGCTGTTGATGAAGTAGATGAACACCTTATTAAAAATTTAATAATTTTTTTAATAATTTACACCTTATTAAAAAGTTGTAAGCTTTTATCCAGTTTGTGTCAGAAAACAATTAGATTAAGTTTTAGAAGCTTGCAATAAGCAGCTTTAGAAAACTTATTAGTTTTGTTCATTCAAACCAAAGGGCGCACCTGTACCCTGATGCTAATTGAAGCATGTTTAAGTAGATTCTATATTTATCAAAAGTATATTAAATTAGACTCCACTAATTCCGAATTTGTTGTAGTTTGTATGTCTTTTATATTATGTTAAGAGGCAGTGCTTTGTTTCAGTTGGTTGTTAATGTCTGATTATTTCTGAATTGTCCATAATACAACACTTTCACGAGTACCAATTGGCCTTGTTCACATTTAATTTGAATTACTATAAAACCCAGCAGCCCCATAATTTTAAAGGCTTAGTCATCCATAATGTTTTAACTATTCCATGGTTTTATTTTTTGTTTACTGCAGGACGAAGTACATGAAAGGGATCGATTTAGTGATTTTTTACTTACAAAGTTAAGAGATCTGTTGCAAAAGCACCCAACTTTGAAACTTATTCTTTCTAGTGCCGCCTTGGATGTAAATCTTTTTATAAGATATTTTGGAAGTTGCCCAGTGATCTATAGTAAGTTAAATTGTCAGATTTCTTCTAGGATTTTAATGAAAGTATACTTTTGGGATGATTATATTTATTGTAATAGGAATTGGGGAATGTTCTGAAGTAGAGTGCATCCATTTCTGTTTTCTCTGAGACCTGCCTCCTAATCATTCATCTGTATATATTTCCATCCTCTCCTTTTCCACCTATACTCGTTGATATTGTGTTGTGAGGCAGTTTTTCATTCTTAAAAGGAAATGTGCTTTATTGTGGTCCTGTATCCTCCTTAAATTCTGTCCTACAGCTTCCCCTTTATTGCTAGACTCCTTGAAAAGAGCAGTCTACACTCCTGTGTTTACTTCCTGTGTACTTTTTTTTAATATGATTTTTTTATTTAAAAAAATGTTTATTTATTTTGAGAGAGCGAGTGAGCAGGGGAGGTGTAGGGGTTGAGGGAGACAGAGGATCCCCAGCAGGCTCCATGCTGTCAGCACAGAGCACGATGCGGGGCTCGAACTTACAAACCGTGAGGTCATGACTTGAGCTGAAACCAAGAGTCAGACGCTTAACCGACTAAACCACCCAGGAGCCCCTAAGCAGCTATTTTAATATTTCATAATACGAATGTACCATGATTTATTTAACCATTTATTTTTGAACACTCAGATTGGTTCTAGACTCTGCTCATCCCCCCTCCATAAACAGTGTTATAATAAACATCCTGTATGTATATCCTTATATACTGGTGCTCTTATTTCTAGGGATAGATTCCTGAAAGTACAATTGTTGAGTAAAAGAGTGTATCTGTTTTTAATTTTGACGGATTTTGCCATTTTACTTTTTCAAAGAGCTGAAATGATTTATATTTCTGTAGTGTATGGGGCTGTTCATTCATGTATTGTTACCAGTATTGTTTTGATACTGATATAATTGCCAAGCCTACTATTTAAATTTTCCACAAAAATCTTACTTAAATTTTCCATATTTCTCATGGTTGGCCCCTCTTTTTTGTATGTGAAATGCTCACATCCCAGAATTTATTTGACAACACTGTCTCCTAATTCTGCATTAGCACTTGTACCCTCATGGTCTCCTTGGTGGGCTTCTCTTTTGCATGGTGCTTATATATTGGTATTCTTTGGGATTATTCCCTTGATCCTTTTTTTTTTCCTTCTTCCTCATTCATCTTCCCTTCCTTCTTCCTTCCTTTGTTTTCCTCTTCTTTCCTGGTCTGTGCTGTAATCTACTAGGTACTGGAGATGCACAGGTAGTTTCCCTGGAAGCTCTCATTCATGCCTGTGGTTTCTACTTTGTTTTTATAATCATGGACCCTGAATCTTTGTTTCTGTTTATTTTTTGTTTATTTTGAACATTTTCTTTAAGTAAGCTTTATGCCCAGAGTGGGGCTTGAACTCATGACCCCCTGAGATCAAGAGTCCCATGCTCTACCAACTGAGCCAGCCAGGGGCTCCCTGAATCTTTGTTTCTAATTTAAACTGTTCTCCAGAGCTTTGGGCTTTGATGTCTTATAAGCAGCTCATTTCTAATATGTCCCAACCTGAATATTTAATCTCTTCTACAAAAATCTGTGTTGGGGTGCTTGGGTGGCTCAGTCGGTTAAGCATCCGACTTCGGCTCAGGTCATGATCTCGTGGTCCGTGAGTTCGAGCCCTGCGTCAGGCTCTGTGCTGACAGCTCAGAGCCTGGAGCCTGTTTCAGATTCTGTGTCTTCCTCTCTCTCTGACCCTCCCCCGTTCATGCTGTCTCTCCCTGTCTCAAAAATAAATAAACGTTAAAAAAAAATTAAAAAAAAAATCTGTGTTGTCCATTTTAGTTAATCATACCATCAACCTAATCACCTACATCACAAACCAGTCTTTTTTACAAAACTTATACATCTGCTAGTTGAAAGCTCGTTTTGTCACCTCACATTTGACGTGTCTAAAACCAGACCCCAGCTCCCACCAGCCAGTCTGTTGCTTTTAGCTTTGCTTGTTACCTTTGAGATTGACCTCATCATCTATCCGGTTTTGTGCACCAGACATCTAAGAAACATGGTTGACTCTTCATATCATTCCTTCATATCCAATTCACATGTCTTTTTTTTTTTTTTCAACGTTTATTTATTTTTGGGACAGAGAGAGACAGAGCATGGACGGGGGAGGGGCAGAGAGAGAGGGAGACACAGAATCGGAAACAGGCTCCAGGCTCCGAGCCATCAGCCCAGAGCCCGACGCGGGGCTCGAACTCACGGACCGCGAGATCGTGACCTGGCTGAAGTCGGACGCTTAACCGACTGTGCCACCCAGGCGCCCCACCTTCATCCAATTCAATGCTGAGTTTTGTGTATTTTGCTTCCTATCTCTGGAGTCTGTCTCTTGTCCGTTTTTTTATCATCACCAGTTTTATTCAAATATTGTTCTCTTTTACTTGAATTATCAGATGATAACCTGGTCTCTTCCATCCCCTCTGCTCTCTTATCTATCTATCTATCTATCTATCTATCTATCTATCTATCTATCTATGTATCTATCTAGAGAGTGCACGTATGCACACAAGAAAGAGTGGGGGAAATGCAGAGAGAGAAGAGAGAGAATACCAAGCACACTCCATGCTGTCAGCGTAGATGCGGGACTTGATGTCATAACTGACCTGAGCCGAAATCAAGAGTTGGATGCCTAACCAACTGAGCCAACCAGGCACCCCCATTCCTCTGCTCTCTTTTATTTATTTTATTTTTAAAAATTTTTAATGTTTATTTATTTTTAATGTTTATTTATTTTTGAGAGGGGCAGAGACAGAATGTGAGTGGGTTAGGGGCAGAGAGAGAGGGAGACACAGAATCTGAAGCAGGCTCCAGGCTCCGAGCTGTCAGCAGAGCCTGACGTGGGGCTCGAATTCATGAGCTGTGAGATCATGACCTGAGCCAAAGTCAGACGCTCAACTGACTGAGCCACCCAGGTGCCCCTTAATGTTTGCTTATTTTTGAGAGAGAGAGAGAGAGAGAGAGAAAGAGAGAGAGAGAACACAAGCAGGGGAGGGACAGAGAGAGAGGGAGACACAGAATCCAAAGCAGGCTCTGGGCTCTGAGCTGCCAGCACAGAGCCTGATGTGGGGCTTGAACCCATGAACCATGAGATCATGACCTGAGCCAAAGTCCAGTGCTTAACCAACTGAGCCATCCAGGTGCTTCTCCTCTGCTCTCTTTTAAATCTGTGTTATCTACTGCAGCCAGAGTGGTCTTTTCTGACCTGGAATTCTGAGGATGTTGAGCACTCTGCTGAGCTTAAACTTTGGATAACCATTACCTCAGGATGAAGACCTAAATCCTTAATAAGGCTCACCTGTTTCTCCTGCCTCATCTCAAACTACAACCCCTCTTTACTCCCCATCTCCCACTATGTTCCAGTTTGCTTGGCCAATTAGTTTCTTGAATACATCATACTCTTTCCCATCATAGCATCTTTGCATGTGCTTTTGTTTTCTTCATTGTATATTTCTTCTGCATACAGGTTAGTATTTCATTTATCCCTTCTCTTGGTCCTCATCTTCTCTGAGAGGATGATTTTCTTGACTCATTCAAATCCCCTATTATGTGATGGTATCCTGTGCTTTTCTCTGAGAGGATTTATTACAACTCTGTTTTCACATTTATATTCTGGATTATTGGATTAATGCCTGTCTCCCTTTCTAGTGTGTAAGCTTCAAGAGAGTAGGAGGCAGCTGTGTTTCTGCTTATGATTTGTATTCCTAGGGTCTGCCATGATGACAGACACAGGATAAGTAGATAGTAAACCCTAGAAAAGACAAGCAAATGAGCAGTTCTGTAAAATGAAAATCAGAATTATATTTAAATATAATGACATGACAATATCATGGGGATCACTTGACCTTTGGAATTGCTTTTGGATTTTTATACTCCAGTTCATTAACTCAGGATTCTCATGTTTTTATGTGCATCGTCCCTGTGATGCAAACTGAGTCTTTAAAGTATTCCTATTATTTAGTACAGGGAAGACCTTTTGAAGTAAAAGAAATGTTTCTGGAAGACATCTTAAGAACTACTGGATACACAAACAAAGAAATGTTAAAATACAAAAAGGAAAAACAACGAGGTAAGCTTTTTATCAAACAAACTTAAAACAAAAGTACTAATACTAAGTTTTTGGTCTTATCCTGTGGAGGTACAAGGACACTTGAAAGTATTTTTCCCTTGCACGTAATTGTATAAAATCACATTAGAGTTTGGTCCCAAGTGTACCTGCTACGTGGTGGTTTATGTCCATAAATTATCATCTATAGAGAGGAATTGAAAGTGGATGCTGGGGTGGAGGAGGGTGAGTGTGTCTGTATCCAGAGATGCAGCCACTGTTTTAAGGAGGCCGAAGACTATGTGCTGCCGAGTGTTTGACATGCCGCATACGGTAAGAATGCGACCCGCCACAGCACATTGCACAGGACCCGGATGGGGAGTAGGCAGGAGGCGTTGAAGGGAGTGGCATGTGAGTAGTTACAGGTTCATCTGTGATACAAATGCCAGGTTTTCTTTTTTTTTTTAATTTTTTTTTTCAATGTTTATTTATTTTTGGGACAGAGAGAGACAGAGCATGAACGGGGGAGGGGCAGAGAGAGAGGGAGACACAGAATCAGAAACAGGCTCCAGGCTCTGAGCCATCAGCCCAGAGCCTGACGCGGGGCTTGAACTCACGGACCGCGAGATCTTGACCTGGCTGAAGTCGGACGCTTAACTGACTGTGCCACCCAGGCGCCCCCAAATGCCAGGTTTTCAAATCTTGATTTCGTTATGAATTGCATCTGTGCTTACAACTTAGTGTTATTTGCCCATTAATACATCTCTTAATCACGACTTACAGTATATCTCAGCTTTGGAGTTAGGGTGAGATTCTTCTTGGTTGCTTTTTTTTTTTTCCGATTTTTTTTTAATGTTTATTTTTGAGAGAGAGAGAGAGAGAGAGAGCATGAGCAGGGGAGGGGCAGAGAGAGAGAGAGGGAGACACAGAATCTGAAGTGAGCTCCAGGCTCCACTCTGTTAGCACAGAGCCTGACGTGGGGCTTGAACTCACTAAGTGAGATCATGACCTGAGCCGAAGTCCGACGCTTAACCTACTGAGCCACCCAGGCGCCCTTCTTCTTGCTTACTTTTTTTTTTTTTTTTTTTTAATTTTTTTTTTCAACATTTATTTATTTTTTGGGACAGAGAGAGACAGAGCATGAACGGGGGAGGGGCAGAGAGAGAGGGAGACACAGAATCGGAAACAGGCTCCAGGCTCTGAGCCATCAGCCCAGAGCCCGATGCGGGGCTCTAACTCCCGGACCGCGAGATCGTGACCTGGCTGAAGTCGGACGCTCAACCGACTGCGCCACCCAGGCGCCCCTCTTCTTGCTTACTTTTAACTTCATTATTCGCGATATGAGATTTGGCTTCAAGCTTTGCTTCCTTTGTTTAGTCTGTGTGACCTTGGACAAGAATCTTAAGTTCTTTGGATTCTCCACTTGAATAAAAGCAGTAGGAATTAGCAATTCCTATTTCATATGTAGATCATAAAACTAGTAGATCTCTAAGCTTTTGAAGGTGAAAATTGTAGATCACTTGTACCTCAAACAACTGACATGGTGGTAGAAGTTCAATGAATGGTTTTTCTACAAAGTGCTGTTTGAATATTAGTCATTGTTTTAAGCAACAATTATAGTATGGCTCAAATAGTTTTCTTGAAATTTGGACTGACTTAGAAATAAACTTCTTACCAATAACGTGGAATAGTTGATGTATTTAAGCATAAACATTACTGGATGTTTCTCATTAATGTATTTTGAAAAAATAAAGCCAACTTTGAAGTATTTTCAGATTCACTTAATTTTTAAAAGCACAATATATTCCCCAACGTGAAGCATTTGTGTACTTTTTTGTTGTTGTTGTTACTAATTTAGAAGAGAAGCAACAAACTACTCTTACAGAATGGTATTCGGCTCAAGAGAATACATTCAAGCCTGAATCTCAGAGGCAGAGAACTGTTCCGAATGTGACTGAAGAGTATGATTTGTTGGATGATGGTGGGGATGCTGTCTTCAGCCAGTTGGTAAGACCTTGTTGATTTACACTGATATTTTGAGTGAAAATTGTGTAGTTTAAAGAACATCTTACGAGATTATAATATGTTACTGAATTATTACAGTGTAATTCTCTTAGTTTATCTTAGGCTAAACACATTTTTCAGAAAAACTTTCTAACATACTTTTTTTGGCAAATAATGCAACATTTTTTATTGTTTTATATGAATTTAAATTATTTCAATATTTTCTCTGATTTTTTTGAAGACAATAAAGATATTATGGATATATGTTATCATTGCCTGATATTTTATCATCTCAAAAGTTTTTTTATTAAAATTTTTTTTATGTTTATTAATTTTGAAAGAGGCAGAACATGAGTGGGGGAGAAACAGAGAGGGAGACACAGAATCCAGAGTAGGCTCCAAGCTCTGAGCTGTCAGCACAGAACCCAGTGCAGGGCTTGAACCCATGAACCGCAAGATCATGACCTGAGGCAAAGTTGGATGCTTAACCCACTGAGCTACCCAGGTGCCCCTATCATCTCAAAAGTTTAAGAACCTGTGAGCTGAACAATGTAAGATAAGTTCAGTTAAGAGAAAATTGAGAAAAAACTTTTGAAATTAGAGCCCATAGTCAATACTGGTGTTGTTTCTACAACCAACCAGCTGTGTGACTTTATAAAATCAGTTACCTGCTGTAGACCTCAGTTTATTCTTTTCTTCTGCTTTTCTTTTTTCTATTTTGCCACAGAATGTTTTACAAATGAAATATTTTGTAGAAGCCTTGCCTGCTCGTCTTTACTGTCCACTCCCATCCCTACATGGGGCTTCTGCTACCTTGGGTTCCATTGAAACTGTTTGAATCCAGGTTGAAAACTGGAACTAGCTGATTTCCTAGGTCCCTTCTGGTCTTTAATTCTGGTTTAGAATTCTTTAAAAGGTACTGGTGATTAGTGTGATGGAAAATATTGCTGGGCCTATGCACTTTTTGGAAAAAGAATTTAACTGTTTTGAGCATGAGAAGGTACATATGCAGGTGCATTTGGTTCAGTGAATAGCCTTTTGACCATGAAATCAGTGTTTCTTGGGGCGCCTGGGTGGCTCAGTCGGTAAGCGTCCGACTTCGGCTCAGGTCACAATCTCGCCGTTCGTGAGTTCGAGCCCCGCGTCGGGCTCTGGGCTGACGGCTTGGAGCCTGGAGCCTGCTTCCGATTCTGTGTCTCCCTCTCTCTCTCTGCCCCTCCCCCACTTGTGCTCTGTCTCTCTCTGTCCCTCAAAAATAAATAAAAGGTTAAAAAAAAAATCAGTGTTTCTTAAGCCTGGTTGCACATGAGCATCACCTCAGGAACTTATTTTATTTTATTTTATTTTTTTAAATTTTTTTCAACATTTTTTATTTATTTTTGGGACAGAGTGAGACAGAGCATGAACGGGGGAGGGGCAGAGAGAGAGGGAGACACAGAATCGGAAACAGGCTCCAGGCTCTGAGCCATCAGCCCAGAGCCCGACGCGGGGCTCGAACCCACGGACCGCGAGATCGTGTCCTGGCTGAAGTCGGACGCTTAACCGACTGCGACACCCAGGCGCCCCTCAGGAACTTATTTTAAAGCCCTTATGGAATCTTGCCTCCACCAGCAGAGGTTCTCATGAACTTGGCATCAGTGTTGAAATACACCAGTGTTGGCCCCTCTGATGTGCAGCTGGGAGAGAGAACCACTGGTGTACAAGTATATTTAGCAACATTTTGCTAGAAACACACTTAGGTAATATTTTGACTGAATCATGCTCCTTTGGTTACAAACTCATTCTCAGATGAAAGATAAATGTAAGAACAAGATACGATATTGTAAGTGGAGTGTGTGTGTTCAGATGAGAAACTTTTATGTCAAAGCCTGTGCTATTATATTATATGTGGTTAGTAGTTCTTGTGGCCATTGTGTCATCTCATATTCTTTGCAAGCAAAGGTTAAGCTGTCAGGTAATTTATAACCTCTGCTTTTGTTTTGTTTTTTAAAGACAGAAAAAGATGTGAATTGCCTTGAACCATGGTTAATAAAGGAAATGGATGCTTGTCTTTCTGACATATGGCTACATAAAGATGTCGATGCCTTCGCTCAGGTCTTTCACCTTATTTTAACTGAAAATGTTAGTGGTATGTATAACTTCTTAAAAATATTTTTTTTTACTCTTACAGTTATTTATGGTGGAAATGTAGTTTAATTCAGAATGTATGTACTACATTTGTTGTTCACAACCAATAATTTGTTCTTTTGGAGTACTTATTTCAAATGGACAAATCAAGATCTTATTAGCATAGTAGAATAAATATTGTGTTAAATCAGGGATTCTTTTTTTTTTTTTTTTAATGTTAATTTTTGAGAGAGAGAGAGCATGAGTGGGGCGGGGGAGTGGGAGTGGCAGAGAGAGAGGGAGACACTGAATCTGAAGCAAGCTCCAGGCTCTGAGCTGTCAGGGTAGGGCCTGACATGGTACTTGAACTCATGAATTGTGAGATCATGACCTGAGCTGAAGTTGGACGCTTAACCGACTGAGCCACCCAAGCGCCCCTAAATCAGGGATTCTTAATCTAGTAGTCTTCAGAATAGCTATGTGGGGGTCTGTGAATATATGTGCAGTTATGTGCAGAGGTATTTTTCTGTATATATATTGTACCCATATTTCTGTATATATATTGTACCCATAAATACATGTTCCTTCCCTCCCAAGGGAATATCTTTGGTTTTTTGAAATTTATGATTTCAAAAAAGGAAGGAAAAAAAAGATTGATAACTTTGCTCTAGATTTTGTATTTAGTAAGTGGAGAATTTTAACATACCGTTAGTTATATAAGCTCAAGTACTCATTCACATGCACATGCTTTATGTCATGTGATACGTTTTCATAATGACCTAGCCTGATTTTGTTAGTTGATTATAGTGACTACTGGTAACCAGAGGTGAGTTTCAGAACTCTGAAGCCTTCTAGGCAAAAGACAGAATGAAAGGCCAGAGAGTCAGTACTGGAAATGATTTAGATGTCAAGTGGTTTATCCCCTCAACTAAACTTCTCAGTGTTATTATTATTATTATTGATTACTCCTTTCTTGAAACATTTCCTTCAATCAGCCTATCCTATTCCAGCTGGAACTTCTTGGTTTCCTTCGCAGAATCTTCCCTTTTCCTGACCTCTAAATATGCAATGGCCCAGGCCTCAGTCCTTAGGCCTTGCTTCAGTTTACACGGACTCCTTTTGTGGTTCTCATCTAGTCATAGCTTTAAATACTTATTGTCTCTTAGTGACTAGCTTCAGGTACAGTAGGTCAATCAGCCTAAAAATCTTTACTCTTTACTTACATCAATTCAGCCTATGGTTAGTATAGCTCGTTGCCAACCACATTGTCTTAGTGATTCATATCACCTTTAAAACTTCTAGTTCTTTTTTTTTTTTAACATGGGATTTTGTTAAATGAATGCCCCCTATCATTTACATGTTGTTTTGATTTTTTTTATTTTTAGTTTTTTTGAGTTTTTAAATCTCATAATTAGATTTGGCCCATTGGTTTTGGTTAACAACCCCCCTCCCCCCCGCCCCCGCCACCCAGTTCTAATTGTTACCTAGTGTATTAATAAACCTTCTCAGTTTATTAGCTCAGAAGGCCTGGGTCAATGACCATGTGCTATGTATGCTAGAAGAGGCTTTAGGTCAATATTTAGGTGTAGTTGTTCAAATGGTTATAATTCCATAATGTACTAATCTAACAGACCTCTTAAGAAGGAAATGAAGATCTTTGTAAATTTAGTTTGATCTACTTTTTTTTTTCCAGTTTATCAGTCATTAAAAAAATAATCTGTATTTTGAAAAGTAACTTTTTGTATTTGGAAATGTGAACATTTGTTCATCTCCAGTTTTCTGGCAGTCTTTTTTTCTCCAAAAGAGAAATGCCTTGCCATCTTACCTGAAAGTTAGGAAAATTTGAACTCTGAGGCAAGTTGCCTTAAAATATTTATGAAGCATTAATGTATTATTCTTGACCTTCGTCCTAGATACTTCTTTAGTGTATACTATTACTTGGATGTCATCATCCTATGCATCCCATCCAGGTCCTGCATCTTTATAAAAGTGTCACTGGACATTTTCTAGAGTGCGCTATGCTAGTATTTTAAGCTGTGTGAAGCAAACTAAAATGTTGTAGTAATTCTTTGAACAGTTATTGACTTCCTGTCTTTTTATTTTTCTTCTAAAATCTCAATCCTTAATTGGCACCAGAGTTGAAAATACTTCATGTAATCCAGGAGACCCTGGGCTTCATAGGTTTCTTTTTAATGTTGTCAGTTTCTCCATGTGATCCTGTGGAAGCAGTTGGTAATTAGTAAGATGCAGGCATTCTTTGTCATGCTTATTGTCCTAGTTACCTATTGCTGCATGACAAATCATTCCTAAACTTAGCAACCTGAAACTTTTATTATCTCACACTGCTTCTGAGAATCAAGAATCTGAGAGTGGCAAAACTGAGTGGTTTTGGCTCCTAGTGACTCATAGAACAGTAGTGAAGCTGTTGTTAGGGGTTTGGTCATCTGAAGGTTTCACTGGAACTGGAGCATCTGGTTCCGAGGAGGCTCACTGACGTGGCTTTTGGCAAGAGGCCTCCAGTCATCTCTGCTTTTGGCATAAGGCTTCAGTTCGTTGCCATGTGGATCTCTTCATAGGGCTGGCTGTCTTATTCTTCCTAGGATGTGACAGCTGGCTTCTTTCAGAGTGAGTGATCAAAAGAGAAGGAGAAAAAGCAAGCAGGAAGCTGTAGGTACCTTTTAGAGTGAGTTACGTAGTCTAGCTCTGCCTCTTGAAGAGAGGAGTACTAAGGAATTGTTGGATACTTATTAATACCCTGCTGCTGAAAATACATACTTATTCGTACCTGCTGCTCAAAAATATACACATTTTGGTTCTGTTCTCCAGGGCTATCAAATGACTATTCAGTTGAAGCTGTAATTCTCTTACAGTGAGTATAGGTCATAATCTTTTCAGACCTTTTTAAAAATGCGTGTGCCTGGCCATCCCAGACTTACCGACTCTGAATCTAGAGTAAATCATGGCTATCTGTGCTTTTAGAAATAAGAAGCTTGAGGTAATTCTCTTCTGAGTCCTCCTCCCCATCTTAAGAACCATTGATTTGTATTAATGGTTACCATGTTGTAGAGTATTATTAAACAATGAGAATAATTGGGTATCTAAAATTTTCCATTTGTAATTATCTTAAATTTTACTGCAGAGGTTCCCCCCCCCCCCCCCAGTGGTTCTTTATTTTTGAAATTTCCAGTTTTATAATTTAAGCAAACTGGTGCTAAGCAATTTTAATATATTGCATTCCTTGAGACATATATTCTAGGAAAGAACTTAAACTCAATAGACCTTTGTTTTTCTCATGGAGGGATTTTATCGTTTGTAAACTTTCTGCCAATGCTTTATTTCCATTAAACATCTCAGTAAGTAACAGCCTGGAATGGTGGAATGAAAACAAAACGAAAGAACAACAAAAAATGGTCTTGAACTTTGCATTTGCACTTTTAAGCATTCATTACCAGTTGCTGATGAACATTAACTTTTTAATTCTTTGTATTTTGTCATCTGATGATTAAGACTTAGGAAAATTATAAGGGTTCTGCAAGTTACTAGTTTCCCTCTTCTGTTTTAATTATCATGGTGAACTTAAGACAGCTTAACAACTATCTTTCCTTCTCTTGCCTTCCAAATGATTGTCCCTATTCCATCATTTATTTTTATTTATTTATTTGTTTATTTATTTATTTATTATTATTATTATTTTTTTTAGAGAGAGTGTGAGTGGGGGAGAGGGACAGAGGGCAAGGGAGAGAGAATCCCAAGCAGGCTCAGCACTCAGCATGGAGCCTGACGTGGGGCTCAATCCTGTGACCCTGGGATCATGACCTGAGCTGAAGTCAAAAGTTGGATGCTCAACTGACTGAGCCACCCAGGCGCCCCTCCTCCATTGTGTTTATATTAAAAGCATATGAATGACATCTCCTTGGATGATCTGAGTTAAGGTTATGTAATACTGTTACCATGTAGTGGGTTAAGGCGCAAAGTCCCAAGTGAATTCTCCTGACAGTCATTTATTTCTTTTATTTAACTTAAAAAAAATTAAAACGATTTAAAAAATTTGGAAATGTAACCTATATTTATCTTTTCCTGTTTTTAGTTGATTATAGGCATAGCGAAACCAGTGCAACAGCTCTGATGGTTGCTGCTGGACGAGGTTTTTCAAGTCAAGTAGAGCAGTTAATTAGCATGGGAGCCAACGTGCACAGTAAAGCGTCAAATGGCTGGTAATTGTAAACTGCATCCGTTCTTTGTATGTCTTGGTCCAGCTACACATACTGTCTTTGATTTCTTACGTTTGTCTTTATGTTAAAAGCTGTTCTATAATAATTGCTGGAATATCTCTAATGGGTGAATGAGTAATGTGACTAGTTTTATAATTTTGAAAACATCATTTTTCTAATAGTTTGATATCTTTGAATTTTGGCAGGATGGCTTTAGATTGGGCTAAACACTTTGGACAGACTGAAATTGTGGATCTTCTGGAATCTTACAGGTAAAACTTTATTCTGTGCTTAATTAACCCTAACTTCTTTTTTATTTAAAAAAAATTTTTTTTTTAACATTTCTTCATTTTGAGAGACAGAGGCAGAGCATGAGCAGGGGAGGGGGAGAGAGAGAGAGATACAGAATCCGAAGCAGGCTCCAGGCTCTGAGCTGTTTGTTAGCACAGAGCCCGACGTGGGGCTTGAACTCACAAACCGCAAGACCAGGACCTGAGCTGAAGTCGGACGCTCAACTGACTGAGCCACCCAGGTGCCCCCTAACTTCTTTTTTAAAAGCTTAGCTGTGAAAATCGGTATGATGCTGTAGGCTATAGTCTCTTATTCAGAGATTTTCTTTTGTGTTTTGTTTTTTTTTTTTGCTTTTTTTTTTCTTGCTGTTGGTTTTTGAATTCTAAGGAATTCTAAGGAAAAAAAAAATTTTTGTAGGGTGCCGGTAAGATCCACTATGCTGTAATAATTTATTTTATTTTGAAAAACAGAAGGATTTCCAGTTAAACATGGTAGCTAGAACACATGTGATTTATCTGCATTTTCACAAAACCTCGTTGAAATGGTACAGAAGGAATGTTCAAGCTAATAAAGTGAAAGAGATTGAAGAGGTCATAGCAACTGATTGAAGAAATTAGTAAATTTTTGGGTACTAGAAGGCTAGTGGATCGGTGCTGGTTGATGTGGCAGAGCTGAGAAAACTGAAACCTGAGTGCCCACAGAGGGAAGTGCCAGTGAGAAACAGATTCATTTTAGCTTCTTAGAGGCTCACTTAACTAATTCTTTTTTTTTAAATGAATCTTTTTTTTTTTTTTTAATGTTTATTTTTGAGAGAGAGACAGAGCGTGAGTAGGGAGGGGCAGAGAGAGAGGGAGACACAGATCTGAAGCAGCCTCCAGGCTCTGAGCTGTTAGCACAGAGGTCGACGCGGAACTCAAACTTGTCAACCGTGAGATCATGACCTGGGCTGAAGTCGGACACTCAACTGACTGAGCCACCCAGGCGCCCCTCACTTAACTACTTCTGAATAACAGTGAAAGAAAAGGCCAAAAACAAAACAAAAACAAAAAACCACAACAACAAAACCCCCCCCAAAATCCCAGAATTGATTGAAATTCTCTATGAGGAACATTTAGAATTCCAGATTCCCTTCTCCCCTCCACCAGGTGATACCACTTCCCCACCTTTGCAGGAAGTGGGAAGTATATTAAAAAATAAAGCCACGGACATGTTGGACTTGGAGGTACCAGGCACAGTGGGAGAGTAGGAGTGAGGCATCAAACAGAAAAGTCTAAAGACTGAAAGTTGAGGTACCATCCACTCCCTTCCACTGCTGTCCTGTTGCCTTTTCCTGTTTGAAGCGTATGTTCTTTAGCAGAAAACTTGAGAATTCTTTCCTGGGAAAACAGACGAAGCCGAGGGAAAAGAATTAGAATTATAGAAGGTTGGGTATTCCTTCAGTGAAATAACCGTCTTTAAACTAGATAGCTCAGCAATTGTCACCTGTGCAGATGGAGTTTTTTTTTTTTTTTTTTTTCATTGTCTTTATTTTATTTATTTTTTTTTTTTTTAAATTTTTTTTTTTTTTTTTCAACGTTTATTTTTGGGACAGAGAGAGACAGAGCATGAACAGGGGAGGGGCAGAGAGAGAGAGGGAGACACAGAATCGGAAACAGGCTCCAGGCTCTGAGCCATCAGCCCAGAGCCCGACGCGGGGCTCGAACTCACGGACCGCGAGATCGTGACCTGGCTGAAGTCGGACGCTCAACCGACTGCGCCACCCAGGCGCCCCTTTTCATTGTCTTTAAAGATGAACAAAATGTTGGGGATGATCACTGGAAATCTTTGAGGGGAAAAAGCACCCACAATCCAACAGACAACAATAGCAACCAAAAAACCTGGAACTTGGATGGGACTAAGCATTAGTGACCAGAAGACTTCAAAAACTAATAGAAAATATTCATGAAAGAGAAACAATGTGTTATAAAACAGGAACAGAACACATATCTTTGTTTAAATCTTACCTTCATGGGGGCTACCTAATTAATCCTATTACTGCAGTCTACCTCCTGTGCTACTGATCCTCCTTAACTGATTCTACTTTGATTTAAAAAAGAAGAATCAGACAATACTTTTCACAGTCCTATGAAACAAAGCCTTCATTTTGGTAATTAAAAGTTTTAGGTAAATTTAGGTCAGATTGTGTAGATTTTAATGTTTATTTTTGAGACAGAGACTGAGACAGCGCATGAACTGGGGAGGGTCAAAGAGACAGGGAGACACAGAATCTGAAACAGGCTCCAGGCTCTGAGCTGTCAGCACAGAGCCTGACGCGGGGCTCGAACTCACGGACTGCGAGATCACAACCTGAGCCGAAGTCAGACGCTTAACCAACTGAGCTACCCAGGCGCCCCCAGATTGTGTAGATTTTAGATTAGATCTCTTAAGAAAAGAGAAAGATATTTTATTAAAGGAAAAGGTACCTGAATAAAACATGTTTAGTAATACGTGGATAGCATCTATCGGTCTTCAACCTATAAGAATCAAAAGTGAAAAAAATGGAATTTGAAGTTAAAATATATCAAAACATCTTTTATTGAAGAACATATAAATGTTTTATATGAGTTGGGTTTTTGTATTTAATTCTATAGATATAGTCTCAGGTATTAGATGAAGTATGTTTGAAGTATGAAATTAGTCTTTTCGTTTTAATTTCAATTAAATGCTAATGACGTTTAGAGTGACAAAGTTCTTAGCAATGGCAGGGTTTGTTGTCATTTCAGTTAATAGCACCCAGAACTTGCAGTCCTTTTAGTGCTAATACTTTGAATGCTTCACTTTGAATGCTTCTTAGGGTGCTAGGAAGTATCTCAGTACACACTATATATTACCAAGTACAGGAGTTATCTGGATAATATTCTAATTATCCTGGCTACCTGGGCTTTCTTTTTAGTCCGCAGATCATGACATTATCAATCACCAATTTTAAACATTTAAAATGCAATTTATTAATAAAACGTGTGTTGGATTATTGATAATTGATATGTAAAGTTAGTGGGGTTTTTTTGAGAGTGCTAGTGGAGAGGGGCAAAGGGAAAGAGAGAGAGCATCTCAAGCAGGTTCCACACCCAGTATGTAGCCCGACATGGGGCTCCATCCCACGACCATGACATCATGACCCGAACTGAATCAAGAGTTGGGTGTTCAACTGACCGAGCCAACCAGGCTCCCTTGAAGTTAGAGCTTTAAACAAAGAACATACTCCTCTCCTCATTTACCTGTTAAGAAGTAAAAAACCAAAAAACTTGGAGTATTTGAAAAAGGATCTTAAATTTAAAATACTACAATTTTAAGTTTAATATTTTCCCTATTGAGATCAGGCTTCATTTTCTGCTAAGCTCTTTAAGAGAAATGGGCTGAACTGAACTTCCTAGAAATCTTATTGCTAGTCACTAGTGGTGGCAGTAGTTTATAGTTTTATATAGAGGATGAAGAAGCAAGCAATTATTTAATTTATGCTGATTCTGGGCTTTTGGAAAGTAGTGAAATCAATCTGCTTTTAGAATAGAATTACCAAGTTAGCAGTCATGTTAAGCTGGTACCTGTAGAATTGTGGTTTGTTTGTTTTTTTAACATAGACTTTTCTTCAGAGTATTGTTTATAAGAGTGAACAACCTGTTGAAGTATAAATGATGATTGAAAATTTGTGTCTTTTAAGTTTTATTATGGTAAAGTTTACATACCACATGAGTTAGTTCACCCATGTTACACAGTCATTACCACAATCAATTTTGAGAACGTTTTCATTACCCATCTCCCCCCAAAAAACGCAACTCTTCCAGCTCTCGACACCTAGTGTACTTTCTGTTTCTGTAGGTTTGTCTATTCTGTACACTTAATCTAAGTGGAATGGTATCATACTTGGTCTTTTTGTGATTGGCTTCTTTCATTAGCATAATGTGTTCCAAGGTTCATCCATGTTGTAGCAGGTGTTCTTTTTCTGACTAATAACCTACTCTGTGGATACATCACGATTTGTTTAACCATTCATCAATTGATGAACATTTGGGTTTCCACTTTTTGACTCTTACCAATAATTCTGGTATGAACATTTGTGTACACATATTTATATGGACATGTATTTTCATTTCCCTTGTTTATATACCTAGCAGTGGAAGTGGAATTGCTGGGACGTGTGGTCACACTGTGTTTAACATTTTGAGGAACCGCCATATTCTTTTTCAAAGTGGCTTCACCATTTTATGCTCTCACCAGCAATGTATGATGGTTACAGTTTCTCCACACCCTCTCTCCACACTTACTTTCTTGTCTTTTTTTTATTGTAGTCCTCCTAGTGAGTGTGAAGTGGTATTCATTGTGGTTTTGATTTTCATTTCTCTGATGACTAATGATGTTGAACATCTTTTCAGTGTGTTTATTGGCCGTTCGTATATTGTCTTTGGAGAAATGTCTTCAGATTGTGTTTTCAAAAATCACTTACTGACAAATTTTACTTTGGATAATGTACTGTAAACCAAAACATGAATTGTAGCTGGGACATTAAGTATCACTTACCCTCTTTAGGGTGTATTTAAAATTTGAAGAAGGATATCATGGGAATTGTTGGCCTTAAAGGATTACTCTTTTTTGATGAAAATTGAGTTTGTGGGTTTTTTTTGTTGTTGTTGTTTCTGTCTTTTTTTTCCTAGTGCTTCACTGGAATTTGGAAATCTAGATGAAAGTTCTCTGGTACACACAAATGGGAGTGAACTCAGTGCAGAAGACAGAGAGCTCCTGAAAGCTTATCATCACAGTTTTGATGATGAAAAAGTAGACTTGGATTTGATCATGCACCTTCTATACAATATCTGCCATGGTTGTGATGCTGGTAAATAACTACTGTCTAAAATAACTGGAACAACAGTGTATACTTCGATTTCAAAATTAATATGTTGTGTGTACAGATTTTTGTGTAATTCCATTGGCAGTATTGCATAAATAATCTCTTAAACATCATAAGTGTCACAGTTTATTGGTACATAAAAACACGTGATAGAGTTCATTATAGATGGTTCTGTTGATTGGTTCTGGTTTGTAAAACCAGAGGTTTACTGTTAAAAACATTATTCTTCTCCAAGGAGCAATATTAATTTTCCTGCCTGGATATGATGAAATTGTTGGACTGCGGGATCGTATCCTGTTTGATGACAAGCGGTTTGCTGATAACACACACAGGTAAAAGCTAAAGCTTTATATTTGCTGCTTTAAGTAACAGATAGGTACCATAGTGTATTTTCCCTTTCATTGTCAACAGATATCAAGTCTTTATGCTTCATTCAAATATGCAAACATCTGATCAAAAGAAGGTATTGAAAAACCCGCCTGCTGGTGTTCGAAAAATTGTAAGCTTTATAAAATCTTCTTTTGTCCATTTTATTAGTCATTGGTCCTGTTTTCGTATTAACTGTAACACAACATTCCATTTTGCAGATCCTTTCCACCAATATTGCTGAAACCAGCATCACAGTCAATGATGTTGTCTTTGTTATTGATTCTGGTAAGGTGAAAGAGGTAGGTTGGAGGAATTGTATTTTATTTAAATGAAGAAGATTAAGTTACATTCCAACAAATGCTTTTATAAGCAGAATTCACTTTAGTGGGAAAATCTCTGGTTCTGCCTGAATTTACCATAGTAGTCGTTGATTTCTCTGAAGTGAATATTTTAAACAGTTCAGAATATAAGATCCAGTTAGTGTAACAAATTATATTAAAAAAATGAGCTTCTGCTGATTAAATATTAGGAAGAAAGTAAAGGGTTGGCTAGCTACACTGAAAATTTTGTCACAGTGTGGGAATTTGATTACATATTTTGTATGCTTTCCTTCTACATGTGGGCATGGACCATGTCCCTCCTGTTCAATGTTTAATCTCCGGTGCTCCACATGTAGCAGATACTCAAAAGATATTTAGTTTGAGAGAACCATACTCAGAGGAAGCAGACAAAACTAAAGTTCAGCAAATGATAGTGGACACATGGGTCCATTACCTGCTTTTATCAAAATAAATTCCGTCAGAACACTGCCATGTTCACTCTTCTGCCTATTGACTATGGCTGCTTTCACAGTGCAGATGGCAGATTTGAATTAGTTGCAACAGAGACTCTCTACAAAGGCTAAAATATTTACTGCCAACCCGGTAGAAATAAAAGACAGCATTTATTTTCTTTAGCATTAGAATACTCAGCAGTTCTAAATGGCCTTAACTTTGGTAGGTCCTTTTACTGAAAGAGTTGAAAGTGAGAGGTGGTTGATTTTCAAGGAAAGATACTATCTATGTTGGGGAAAGCAAATGATCTCTGTTCTAGTGGATATAAATGATCATGTTTTAATGTGAAAAAAATTTATTAATTGCTTTATAATGTTTTCAAAGTAATTTTAAGGAATATCTTATAGAACACAAGATTTTATTATAAAATTTGGACATTTCATTATAGTTGGATACTGTAAAGAAGGGATAATACATTTTGTTTTTTTATAAGAGGATAATGATGAATATTATCTTTAAAAGTCTGAATGGTGAGTCCACAAAAATTCAGATTTTATTGCCCTGAAATTAGCTAAAGCTGAACAAGTGAATTTTGAATAATTTAGAAATTAATTCCTATAGGTATCATTTATCAAGTAAACCATAGTTAAGAATATGATGATAGTGTCAGAAGTTATTTTACATACAAAATTGACAAATGTGACATTTTATTAAAAACTATATTGGTATTATTTTTTCTAAAGATCCTATAATTAAACTATTATGAGAATGCATTTGTAATTGCTCTATATAGTTATCCTATGAAAGGGAAAGTGTAAGTCACTGAATGATTAAGTATATATTCTAGTTAGGAATCCACTCTTTTAAAGTATTTCTCTATAGTGAATTTTTGCTTTAGAATCTTTGAGGATGTATGGAGGGAATAATGGTTCTTTTTAAAATTTTTTTTTTTTTTTTTTTTTTTTTTAGTGTTTATTTTTGAGAGACAGAGCACAAGCAGGGAAGGGGCAGGGAGAGAGGGAGACACAGAATCCAAAATAGGCTCCAGGCTCTGAGTTGTCAGCACAGAGCCTGACATGGGGCTGGAACCCATGAACCGGGAGATCATGACCTGAGCCAAAGTCGGGTCGCTTAACTGACTGAGCCACCCAGGCACCCCTATTTATTTCTGAGAGTGAGAGAGACGGAGAGCGAGCACGCGCTCAGCAGGGGAGGGGCAGAGAGAGAGAGGGAGACACAGAATCTGAAGCAGGGTCCAGGCTTTGAGCTGCCAGCCACAGACCCTGAGGCGGGGCTCGAACTCACAGACTGCGAGATCATGACCTGAGCTAAAGTTGGACGCTTAACTGACTGAGCCACCCAGGCGAAGAGGCTTTAAATTAAACTTGGCATGTTAAAATATATTCATAATGTTTCTTGCTGTTTCTTCTTAAACACCTTTTATAAAAGTTTTAACATGAAGAAAACTTAATTACAGAAATCCTTTGATGCACTGAATTTTGTTACAATGTTAAAAATGGTGTGGATATCCAAAGCTAGTGCCATACAACGAAAAGGCAGGTAATGTACATTCATTCACTCAATTGCCTATAAAATGGAAACATTTTGGTATGTATTACATATTTAACATATATTCTTTCTATAAAATGTTAAGATTTTCATGTTAATCTTCATTTTTATATTTTTGTAAAGCAATCCATTTTAAAATATACTTTTTTTTAAAGGTTGAATTCAGCTTATTTTAAATTTTTTTGCCTAGTATAATCTGTACTCAGAAGATGTAAGAAAAATAGACAAAATTAAATGGAAAATCTCTTCAATATTTGCTACATAGGACAAAGGACTAATTTCTGTATTTTGCAAAAAAACCCCTTCCAAATCAATTCACGAAGACCAATACATGAACCTCACATATATCACCTCATATATGCCAAAAGAAATGTAAATTAGCGAGGTAATATTTTTTGCTTATCACTGGATTTTCATTGATGAAAATGTTTAACAGTACATACAACAGAGTTGGCAAAAGTATAGGCCAGTAAGCTTTCATGGTTTGCTGATGGGAGTGTAAATTGGTGTGACTTCTTCAGAGGACAGTTTGAAACTGTCGATCCAGATCTACCCTTTGCCACTGGATTCACCTTCTCATAATTTGTCCTGAGTATACTTGTGCACTGTGTGCAGGGATGTGTTTAAGAATGTTTTCTGCAGCATTGTTTGTAATAGTGAAAAATCTGAGAACATTGTAGTGTCCATTAGTAGTGAAGTATTGTAGTTAGATAAATTATGCTGTAGTCACACAATGGTATACTAGGTAAGTGTTAAAAGGAAAGATGTAGATGTATGTATTTTTATAGTGGAATGGGTTTTCAGAATATGTTATTAATTGAAAAAAGTAAGGTGTAGAACATGCATCCAATAGTATTTGCTTGTGCTAAATATGTATATGTGTATGTATATATGTATGTGTATATATAGTTTAATGTTTATTTTTGTGAGAGAGATGGAGTGTGAGTGGGGGAGGGGCAAAGAGAAAGGGAGACACAGGATCCGAATCAGGCTCCAGGCTCTGAGCTGTCAGCACAAAGCCCGACACAGGGCTCGAACCCACAAACCGTGAGATCATGATCTGAGCCGAAGTCTGATGCTCAACTGACTGAGCCACCCAGGCGCCCCAGTATATATTTAGGCACAAATGCATTGTCAAGTTTGAGAGAAACATTAAAAAAACAATTGTTGACTCCGAGAAGGTGGGTTTGTGGGGCTCTTGAAGGAGATTTAATTTTCATTTTATTGCTTTGTAGTTTGGTTACTTATTTTAATAAATAAATAACATGCTTGTGTTACTTTTTCTTTTTAAAAAAAGATTAAAAAAAGTATTGTATTTTTCGATAATCATTTGACTGATTTTTTTCTTTCATTTTAACTGATAGAACAACATCAGATACTGACTTTAAAGATGTGCCTCATATGCTGAAGATGGTGGATGCATTATTTCTGTGCTTTATACTTTCATAGGATGTTCTTGAGGGCTTGTTGCTATTACCGTATCAGTTGTTTTCTTATGACAAGGTGTGGCTTGATACACTGAGCTAGGTTTATAGGCTGTTAATAGTATATTATTAGGGATGAAAATCAGAAATTGTTAAAATTTTTCTTGTCATCTGTTTCAACAGGTATTTTTTTTTTTTTTACAGCCTTCACTGTGCAAGTGTTAGGGATACAATGATCAATAGAGCCTGATGAGTAGAGTTTGAGGTGGGGGGAATGGTGTAGTTCTTCTTGGAATCCAGTAAAGTAAGCAATGATAATACTATGTGATTTGTGCTACAACTGGATTATGCTTCTAGAGGAGTTAAGGTAGAATCTGAGATAAATATGAATAAAGAGGTGTTGTGGCTCTCTGTCTCTCAAAAATAAATAAATGTTAAAAAAAAAGATGTTGTGGGAAGGCTTTTCTAGCAGAGGCAAGGCTTACGCAAAGGCCTAAAGAAAAGCGTGAGCAAGAAAGTTGTTTGGGTGGAGTTTAGTTTAGAGGAGAATGGTGAAAAGAGCAGAAAGAGGTAAGTTGCGGACAGGTCCTTAAGGACCCTTTTGTGTTTTCTGTCTTCTTAATAAACCAGAGGATGGTTCAATGATCATATTCTTTTAGCTCTTTGAAGAATGAGTTGGTACAGACAAAACTGATGGTAGGAGGACCCAGTAGGAGGCTCTTTCATTAATATTTGCATTTAAAGTAAGGGAGAGATGACAGTAGTGTGGATTGTGATAGTGGAGAAATAAAGTAGATAATTCAGGAGATACTAAGGGGTAAGGAATACTGTGGAGTCAAGGATGTCATACAGGTGTCTTAGAAATTTTGTGGATGGTGGTGCCGTCGTCATGGAAAGTGGGAATGGTGGTTCTGTTGGGGAGAAGAATGAACTTTTGGTTGTGTTGAGTTTGACTGGAAAACCTAAATGGGGCTAAAAGGTTTCATAAGGGTAAATGTACGGTTAGGATGAAGAGATCTCAGTGGATGGAAATTGAAGTCAGGAGGATAATTAGGATCCCCTTGGGAGAGAGGGTAGAGCAGGAGAGCAGAGGGCTGAGGTCCAGCCTCACAGGAACATCAACATTTAAGGACTGGCAAAAGACAGAGGTATCTCAGAAGAGGCAGGAGAGGAGGGAAAGCGGATGGGTTGATAGTGAGGAAAGTACTGATGAAGGAAGCAGTGGTCCAGAGTCTAATTTTTTGTAACTTTGTAACTACAACAGTGTGTTACTTATGTTTGGGGGTCTGGATTGTGAGCTTTGCCAAGGTAGGGATATTTCTGTATCTCTCTCATTTAGCATACTCAGCCTTGCCATTAGCGGACATGATGACTGTGGGTGAAATGAAAAGAGACTGCTTTTCTTCGAGATATTTTTCTGCTGCTTCCCAGAAAATGATACAAGTCTGTACGGTGACGGGGAGGGTGGTGGGGATGCCACTCCCTGGGAGCTGTTTAATGCCTGCTTTGTGCAATTCTAAACAGCGGCATATGCACTGAGCTCTGAACACAGTGCTTGTGTCAGTTCAGTAAAGCTGATGAAATTTATTTTCTTTTCAAATTTTTATTTAAATTCTAGTTAGTTAACATACAGTGCAATATTGGTTTCAGCAGTAGGATTCAGTGATTCATCATTTACATATACAAAGCTGGTGAAATTTAAATTACCATGTATTTTTTCTTTATTTTTAGTCTCATATGTATCTTACCTAAAAAAATTTTTTTTAATCATTTCCTTAGAAGGCTTATCAGGTAGGTGTCATTCATGAATTTTTGTAAATGAATCCCAGATGGGTAAAGTGCCTTCTGGAAAGATTCAGAGGGGAGGAGTATCATAGTAGGGATTTGCACTCAGATGTCCTGACCCTGGTCCATTGCTCTGTCTCCTTAGCACACTGCTTGTATAGTTTCCTTGATATAGTCTTCATTTCTTGTTTGAATCTCAATTTTTTATTTCACTTTTAAGGGCAGGGAGATGTAGACCTGGAATTTGTTTCCGGCTGTTCAGCAGACTCCGATTCCAGAATATGTTGGAATTTCAGACTCCAGAACTTTTGAGAATGCCATTACAGGTAGGAATTTACGAAACTCTAAATTAGAGGCTATTTTTGTGGGTGACAGAGGAGAAAGGACCATTACTAGTTGGACTTTAAATAATCAACTCATAAAACGAACTTATAAAATGTATATTATGTAGGGTGGTTATGTACCTAACATTTTTTTCCTATACTAGAAAATCCATAAACCTCTAAAATTTTAAAGTTACTTGAATGCATTTAAATTATGGTACAGTTTATAAATATGCTTTTTTTTATATGCGACATTTTAGAAGTCTAACGACCACATTGTGTTCACCTTTCACATTCTCACTGAGGATTAGAAAACAAATTATTTAAGGTCCAAAAGATAATGCCACAATCTCAGTTTAAGATGCTGAGATTACGATGGTAGTTTAGAAGGGAGTCTGCTGAGATTTCCTGGCCTTTATTGTTTTGCTTTAGGTCTTCTCACTTCACAGAACAGCCAGACATTGTAGTTTCTAGGGAAAACTACCGGAAGTACATAAATTTGATTATCTGGTGTGCTGAGATGGATGTTGGTTTCTAAACATTTCCAGAGATACTGGATCATGTTTTTGGTATTCATGTACCTGGATAACTTCCCACTTTTCCATGCCTTATGGTCTTAGGATAAAATACAAAACTCTTAACAGGAGCCTAAATTATCTGCCCTTCCTGTGTCTCTAGTTTTAATTTTGACATCTTGTCTTTCCTTCTCTCTCTGCTCATACCAGTAGTTCGAATTTCTCAAGCACACCTTGTTTCTGTATTAGGGGCTTCCTCTGTGTGCTCTGCTCTCCCTAGAATCCTCCCTCTTGTTTCTTTGATAATTACCTCCTACTCAGTCGTTACATCCAAGTTTAAGTGCTGGTTCCCCAGAGATGTTGTCTTTGACTTCCCATGGCCTCCTCCTGCCCTTTCCTGAATTTGATTAAATGTTTTCCTTTACCTCTTTAGTTCTCTGTATCCTTCACAGCATTTATAAAAATTGTAACTAAGTAGTTAATTGTGTCATTATTCTGTTTTTCCCACCATGAAAAATCCACCAGGGCAGACACTTGTCTATCTTCTTTTTCTCCCAACTTGCTGCATAGTCCCTAGCACCTGGCAAGCACTTTGTTGAACAGATAAAAGATTCTAGAATGTAATGTAAAGGAAAAAAAGAGACTTCTGGACAATAACTCTTACTGTTATGTATAAGAACTGTGTGAGGAGACATCGCCAGTGTGGGCAATGGTAATCTTGATAGGAGGTCATGGAGCGTGTTTATTATATTAAAGTTCTAGCACCTAGGGCAAGGTTAGAGCCTGTCTTTCATAGAAAGACATGGTTCCCTCTACTGTTCATTTTAAGCAGAGACTCTACTAGTCGGTTTGGGGACTGTGTTTCCCATGATTTCTTTAAAAAACAAAATCACCATAAATTTCAGCATTTCAACATTATTTGCTGTTCTTATTTGCAGGAACTTTGTTTACATACTAAGCTGTTAGCCCCAGTTAATTGTCCTATTGCCGATTTCCTAATGAAAGCTCCTGAACCTCCACCTGCTTTAATTGTAAGAAATGCTGTACACATGCTTAAGGTTCGTGTCTTCATAGTTTTCACTTTACTGATTTTACTTGAAATTTAAAGTGGGAATATATCTTGCCTGATTTTTGTACTTAAAAAGATTATCTGAAAGAAGCATGTATTTTGAATAATACTCTCATGGTAATTACAGTAAAACAGTTGATGTAGATCTTTTTTATATAAAATATATGAAGCAAATGATGTTTTCTATAAGATGTGGCAAAAGAAAATTTACATTTTTATTTCTTTATGATTTTTAAGTATGCGGTTCGATTAAACATCATGAAACATTTTGGTCCTGCTAGATTCTGTTTTGTGTGCTTTTATTTAGACAATAGATGCAATGGACGCGTGGGAAGATCTCACTGAGCTTGGGTATCATTTGGCTGACCTGCCCGTAGAACCACATCTTGGAAAAATGGTCCTGTGTGCTGTCGTGTTAAAGTGTCTGGACCCCATCCTTACAATTGCCTGCACCCTGGCCTATCGAGACCCTTTTGTACTGCCAACCCAGGCCTCTCAAAAGCGCGCAGCTATGCTCTGTAGGAAACGCTTCACTGCAGGAACTTTCAGTGACCACATGGCACTTCTCAGAGCATTCCAGGTACTGGTCGTTGTTGTCATTTCATTTCTGAACATGTTGCTGGTTGAACACACTTCTGGGGCAAGTGTAACAAATTAAAAAAGAGCTAGGATTCCATTAATTTGGTTTCCTTATAAAGTCACATTTTATAAATAGCTCAGAAACATACATTCCTGCTGTCCTTGTGTTAAAATTATCACTGTTTTTCTCTACCTTTTTTTCTTTTATTTTCTCAGTTTTCTCCCTGTAGGAATATGTGTATGTATATATTTATTTACTTATATGTATTTTTTAATATCCCAGTTCCTTTTTTTTTTTTTAATTTTTTTTCAACGTTTATTTATTTTTGGGACAGAGAGACAGAGCATGAACGGGGGAGGGGCAGAGAGAGAGGGAGACACAGAATCGGAAACAGGCTCCAGGCTCTGAGCCATCAGCCCAGAGCCTGACGCGGGGCTCGAACTCATGGACCGCGAGATCGTGACCTGGCTGAAGTCGGACGCTTAACCGACTGCTCCACCCAGGTGCCCCGATATCCAAGTTCCTTTTAATCATATCTTGGGCAGGAAATGCTCTCAAATTTTGGTTGAGAAGCAATGTATATTATGGGGTGCCTGGTTGACTTAGTCGATTGAGTGTCTGACTCTTGATTTTGGCTCAGGTCATGATCTCATGATTCGTGCGTTTGAGCCTACGTTGGGCTCCACACTGTGTGGAGCCTGCTTGGGATTCTCTCTCTGCCTCTCCCCCTCTCTCACAATAAATAAGTAAACTTAAAAAAAAAAAGAGATAATGTATATTATCCAAAGTATGTAGAACAAACCGAGGAAGAAACTTATCTTGAATTTAGTATCTCTGTGTTGATTTTTTTTTTTTTTAGAGTATGTCTTTTTCTTGTGTGCTCAAGACACGATGCTAAGAACTTAATTTTATAAAATAAAATCTAAATATCATTTAAAACTTTTTAAGATAACAGTAGTGAGAAATTGATGAACATGATAAATAAGAAAGAAAAGATAAGGAAAATAGGATTCTGAGGAAAGGAAATGATATCTAATTTAGAATTTCAGGTATGTGGAGAAGAATATGTTATTTCTTGAAAAGGCATCCTTAAATTCTCTTGAATGTGGGCTATGACTATACATTTTTTAAAAATTTAATTTTGTTGGGACGCCTGGGTGGCTCATTTGGTTAAGTGCCAACTTCGGCTCAGGGTTGATCTCACTGTTCGTGAGTTTGAGCCCTGCATCAGGCTCTGTGCTAACAGCTCAAAGCCTGGAGCCTGCTTCAGATCCTGTGTCTCCCTATCTGTCTGCCCCTCCCCTGCCCATGCCCTGTCTCTCTCTCTCTCTGTCAAAAATAAAATAAACATAAAAAAAAATTTCATTTTGTTTATGCAGAAGTGACTCTTTTCCAGGCATAGTTGATTTTTTCACTATATACAGTTTAAAGAAAACACTGGCAAGCTATTTTGTGAGCATTATTGAACAATGGATAATGCAATGCTATTGAGTCTATTAGATACCACGTCTTACAGTAGATTAGTTGAGTAGATAATAATTAGAGGGAGATTTGGAGTAGAATTCCTATGTATTTTTTGCTTTTCTCCCAGCTCCTTCAAGAGCAGAAAGGATAAATTACTGCTTTGGTCTTTCAGTTATATTCCAAAGCAAGAAAAGTCATTTTCAAAGAGAAGTTTTCCTATACTGCATATAGATGGTTTCTAGAAATCCCACTTCCCATTCAAAGATAGATTAAGAGGTTGATATAGAGCTTATTTTTGGAGGACTGGAGTGGCAGAATCCTTAAATATAAGTGGTGTTTATAATGGCTTAGTTAAAAACCTCCCACACTTCAGTGGAAGAAAATTAGCAAACACATATGAAAAGTTAAATATGTTTACACAGCTGGTCATTTAAGTTAAAGGATACGTAGTTTTCATTGGGATTTTATAAACTCAGTGACTTTCGTAGCATTTGAGTATAAATTAATGATAAATTTCATCTGATCATAAAGTCTTAGATTTTATTTTTTATATTTGATTTTAAAATTTTATTTTTTTATTTTTAAATTAAAAAAAATTTTTTAATGTCTATTTATTATTGAGAGACTGAGTGAGAGACACAGAGCGTGAGGGGTAGAGACACAGGGGAGGGGTAGAGAGAGGGGGAGACATAGAATCCGAGGCAGGCTCCAGGCTCTGAGCTGTCAGCACAGAGCCCGACACGGGGCTCGAACTCACAAACTGCGAGATCATGACCTGAGCTGAAGTCAGTCGCTCAACTGACTGAGCCACCCAGGCGCCCCCTAATTTTAAAATTTTAATAAAAAAAATTGAGACGTCATTGACATATTAGTTTTAGGTGTAAAACACATTGATACTGTAATTGTATGCATTGCAGAATGATCTCCACAGTAAGTCTAGTTAACATCTATCATTGCATATAGTTACAAATTTTTTTCTGTTTGTGATGATAACTTTTAAGATATACTCTCTGGTATGTTAACTAGATTTATTGTGGTGATAATTTCACATTAATATATGGATATTGGATCACTATTTTGTATACCGGAAATGAGTATAATGTTAAATGTCAGGGATACCTCAATAAAAAAAAGTGGACAAAAAAAATCTCTCATCAACTTTCAAATATACAATACAGTGTTATTAACTATAGTTACCATGCTGTACTACAGTTACCTTCCCAGGACTTAATTTATTTTGTAACTGGAAGTTTGTATCTTTTGACTCCTTTCATCCATTTTACTTCCTCTCCTCCCTCACCTCTGGCAACTACCAATCTGTTCTCTGTATCTTTGAGTTTTGTTTGTTTGTTTATTTATAAATGTTTATTTAATTTTGAGAGAGAGAGAGAGAGAGAGAGAGCACAAGGCAGGGAGAGGCAGAGAGAGAGGGAGACACAGAATCTGAAGCAGGCTTCAGGCTCCAAGCTGTCAGCACAGAGCCTGATGTGGGGCTCGAACCCACGAACTGTGAAATCACAACCTGAACTGAAGACGGACGCATAACTGACCTGAGTCACCCAGGCGCCCTGAGTTTTGTTTTTTTAAATGAAGTCCTAGATTTTATCAAATAATTAGAAGGAGAATTGACCTTGAGTGGTTAATGTAGTGGTTTTCAGTTACTTTGCTGCCTAACTAAGGAGTTTGGTAAATGTGTCTCATTATATAATTATGTTTTTGTAGGCATGGCAGAAAGCACGAAGTGATGGGTGGGAGCGAGCCTTTTGCGAAAAGAATTTTCTTTCGCAAGCTACCATGGAAATAATCATTGGTATGAGAACTCAGTTGCTTGGTCAACTTAGAGCATCAGGTAATGTTTTCCCCAGAGAACCTATTTAGACCACTGAGAGTACCCTACCTATACCTCGTAGTATTTGTAGTGTTAACTGATGCCATTTTACATTATTTTTATGATTTTTTCACATTGTTGTAGATCTTGTATTTATGAACTGTGTTGTAGACTCCTATGTGATCTCAGAGTTTGTTGATTTAAAAAATGATATTGTGGAGGCCTGTAGCTGAGAAATCTATGAACACCTTTTGATACTGTAGGCAGTGAGCAATTTGTAGTCTATTTGTTGGCAAAGATCATTGTAGATAATGTAGCTCAGTTTTATCACTATTAATAAACGATCATTATGTCTGTGAAATAGAAGTTAAAAAATGTAAGTAGGTTGATCTGAATGCTGGTCTTCATGTTTGTGGAACATAAAACAACTAGTAATCACTTGAAGGTACTTAATTTTTTTTTTTTTAAAAAGAGAATGTCAGTATTGCTATGTCAATTTAGAATTGTATCTTTAAATTTCCTTTTGAGTAGCATGGTACATTGAAAAAATAGCCAAAGACTACCAGAGCCAGGATTCGTAGATTAGCTAAAGTGTTAAAATAATATAAGGAGCGAGCCAAAGGATTTCGAGTTGTTGTAAATATCGGGAAATGTGAAGGGCTTTGGAAATTCAAGCAAGAATATATTTACTTCACTCCAGAATTTGTCTGTCATAACCACAGTGTTATTAATACCAGGTAGAAGAGTGGTTTAGATGTTCAGCTGTGACTTTAGTACATTTCTTTTTTTAAATTTTAGTACATTTCTCATAGAAGCTTATGAAGAACTTTGTAGCAAGAGTGTGTATTTTTTAAAAAATTTTCAGCTGTGACTTTAGTACATTTCTTTTTTTAAATTTTAGTACATTTCTGATCGCAGCTTATGAAGAACTTTATAGCAAGAGTGTGTATTTTTTTAAAGAGTCCCACATCCCTAGTGAACAAACCTAAACTTTATTAGAATATTTAATCTGTATCTTAAACTTACCAGAGGAGATTTTATTAATTGCTCTGGAATTTGAATATCCCTAAACTTACATGGGCTATACAATTTTTGTAAAAAATGCATACGTTTAAAAGTATATTTTGCACAATAGAAAAAGTTGGTGTGGTTTTTTTTCCTCCTTCTAGGTTTTGTTAGAGCACGAGGCGGTGGTGATATTCGAGATGTTAACACAAATTCCGAGAACTGGGCTGTCGTTAAAGCTGCATTGGTGGCAGGCATGTATCCTAATGTAGTCCATGTGGACAGAGAGAATGTACTACTGACAGGGCCAAAGGAGAAAAAAGTTCGGTTTCATCCCACTTCAGTTCTCAGTCAGCCTCAGTATAAAAAGGTAAAACATTTTTAATGCTCTTAGGCCTTGAAGTCAAACTGATCTAATTTACATAGTTGAAGATCAACCAAAAATGCTCCAAATACCAGCCTGCTTTAAGAAATTAGTTACCTATGTCTAATTCAACATTGGAACAAATTTTTGATGGAATCTTAGAGTTGGAAGAGGTAGTGTGTTAGGTAATGAGGACTACTAGCTGTATGAACAAGGACGTGCTTTAGTTTTTGCTTGAGTATTAATACACCTCATCTGTTTCATTGAGGGACTTTTTACATTTTAAAAGTATTGCCGGTAAACTAGGTGACATACAGTTAACAATTCTTCAATCCATTTTTCTAATAGATTCCTCCAGCCAATGGTCAGGCTGCAGCGATTCAGGCACTACCTACAGATTGGCTTATTTATGATGAAATGACCAGGGCCCATAGAATAGCTAATATTCGATGTTGTTCAGCAGTGACACCCGTCACTATATTGGTGTTCTGTGGACCAGCTAGATTGGCAAGTAACGCTCTTCAAGAACCTTCATCATTTCGAGGTAAATGGATTATGAAGGAAATGAAAATCTATCTGCAATGAAATTTTTTTCACTGGACCAAATAAATTTTGAAATTACCAAAATTTATGTAGTAGTAGCTCCCTTTTGATATGGTAAGACTAATTAGAAACTACTGAAGTATACCTCAGTTCTTAAAATTGATTTTTCTAAAGGTAACTTGGTATTGATTTGTGCATTTTTGATTAATCTTGATAGGTTTACTTTTCTCTCCCACTTGAAGTTAAATAACAGTTTAACATAAATAAAGGTAATTGTTTAAGGAAATAATATTAATAGTGACCCATGATCTCATTTCCCTTATGCAAACACTTTTTAATATTATTTAAAAATTATGTTTAATATTTTTACATATTTCTTAAGCTATTTTACATTGTTATTTTCATTATGCAGAATATAAGTTTTAAAAAATCTTTTATATTAATGGCTGCAAAATATACTATCACTTAAAAGTGGCATAATGCATTTAAAATGTTCTGGCGGGAGCGGGGGACCTCTGGGTGGCTCAGTTGGTTAAGCATCTTACTTTGGCTCAGGTCATGATCTCGTGATTTGGTGAGTTGGAGCCCCACATCAGGCTCGCTGCTCTCAGCCTGTCAGTGCAGAGCCCCCTTCAGATCCTCTGTCCTCCTCTCTCTGCCCCTCCCCTACTTGCGCTCTCTCACTCTCTCTCTCTCAAAAATAAATAAACATAGGGGGGCCTGGATGGCGCAGGTGGTTAAGCATACGACTTCAGCTGAGGTCTTGCGGTCCGTGAGTTCGAACCCCGTATCAGGCTCTGTGCTGACAGCTCAGAGCCTGGAGCCTGCTTCAGATTCTGCGTCTCCCTCTCTCTCTGCCCCTACCCTACTCACACTCTGTCTCTGTCTCTCTCTCTCAAAAATAAACATTAAAAAAAAAAACATTAAAAACAATTCATGAAAGAACTAGCTCTTCGTTTCAGTGATCTTTTCTATTGTGTTTTAGTCTCTTATTTCATTTATTTTTGCTCTGATCTGCATCATTTCTTTCTTTCCACTAACTTTGGGCTTTGTTCTTTTTCTAGTTCCTTTAGGTACAAGGTTAGATTGAGATGTTTGCTGCTTCTTGACTTAGGCGCCTATATTTCCATAAACTTGCCTCTTTGAACCGCTTTTGCTGCATCCTGTAGATTTTAGAGCATTGTGTTTCTGTTTTCATTTGTCTTCAGGTATTTTTTTTCCTTTCTTTTTTGATTTCTTCATTGGCCCATTGTTTGTTTGGTAGCCTTTTGCTTAGGCTTTATGTGTTTGTGTTTTTTCCAGTTTATTCTTATAATTGATTTCTAGTTTTGTACCATTGTGGTCAGAAAGGATGTTTGATATAAGTCTTCCTAAAAATATTGAAACTTGGTTTGTGGCCTAACAAGCGACCTATCCTGGAAAATGTTTCATGTACTTGAAAAGAATGTGTGGGGTGCCTGGGTGGCGCAGTCAGCTGCGCGTCTGACTTCAGCCAGGTCACGATCTCGCGGTCCGTGGGTTCGAGCCCCGCATCGGGCTCTGTGCTGACTGCTCAGAGCCTGGAGCCTGTTTCCGATTCTGTGTCTCCCTCTCTCTCTGCCCTTCCCCCGTTCATGCTCTGTCTCTCTCTGTCCCAAAAATAAATAAACGTTTAAAAAAAAAATTAAAAAAAAAAAAAGAAAAGAATGTGTGTTCTGCTGTGTCTGGATGGAATATTCTGAATATATCTGTTAAGTCCACCTAGTCTAATGTGTTGAGACCAGTGTTTCCTTATTGGTTTTCTGCCTGGATGATTTGCTATTGCTGGAAGTAGATGCTGTGTTCCGCTACCATTATCGTGTGTGACTGTTAATTTCTCCTTTTACATCTTGTAATACTTGCTTTCTATGTTTCGATGCTTTTGTGTTGGCTGCTTAGATATTTACAATTGTTATATTCTCTTATTTGATTAATCCCTTTATAAGGCTCTTCTTTGTGTCTTCTTCAAATCTTTGTCTTGAAGTCTGTTTTGCCTGATACGATTATTGGTATTTTAGCTTTCTTTTCAGTTTCTATTTGCATGGAATATCTTTTTCCATCCCTTCACTTTGAGGCCTTCTCTTTCTTTAGGTCTGAAGTGAGTCACTTACAGGCAGCATATTAGATGGATCTTGTTTTTTATCCATTCGGCCACCCTCTGTCTTTGGAGCATTTAGTCCTTTTACATTTAAAGTAATTATCGATAGGTATGTTAGTTGTTAATCATTTTCTGGTTGTTTTTGTAGTTCTTCTCTGTTCCTTTTATCTTTTATTCCCTTCCCTTGTGATTTGATGACTTTCTTTAGTGTTATATTTGGATTCCGTTCTGTTTATTTTTTATGTATCTATGATAGGTTTTTTGTTGTGGCTACCATGAGGTTCATCTATAACAACCTGTGTATACAGCAGTGCATTTTAAATTGGTGGTTAAGTTTGAACACATTCTAAAAGCAATATATTTTTATTCCCTCACCTTACATTTTATTTTTTGACACTGTATTTTATATCTTTTTATTTTGTACATCTTCTAAGTAATTAGGGTAGGTAGGTTTTACTATTCTTCTCTTTAACCTTCATACTAGCTTTATAAGTTGTTGACCTACTACCTTTACTGTATGTTTGCTTTCAGCAGTGAGATTGTTTTCTTTCATAATTCTTTTACTTTTAATCACAGCCTTTCCTTTTCTGCTTAAATAAATCCCTATAACATTTCTTGTAAGGCCAGTTTAGTGGTTATTAACTCCTTAAGCTTTTGTTTGTCTGGGCAACTTTGTCTTTCCTTCAGTTCTGAAAGATAATTTTGCTGGGTAGAGTATTCTTGATTGTAAGTTTCTTCTTTTCAGTACTTTGACTATATCATGCCCATTCCTCTGGTCTCCAAAGTTTCTGCTGAAAAATCAGCTGGATAACCTGACGGAGTTTCCATTGTATGTAACTCATTGTTTTTTTTTCTCTTGCTGACTTTAAGGTATTCTTTTCTCTTTATCTTTACTTTTTGGGCTTTTAATTATATGTTTGGTGGACCTCTTTGGGTTTATCTTGTTTGGAGCTCTTTGTGCTTCCTGGACCTGAATGTTGTTTCCTTCTCCAGTTTAGGGAAGTTTTCATCTGTTGTTTCTTCAAATAAAGTTTCTGCACTTCCCCACTGTCTTTTCTGAGACTCATATAATGCAAATGTTAGTATGCTTGACACTCTCCTTGAGGTCCCTTTAATCTATCCTAATTTTTAGAAATTCTTTTCAGTTTTTGCTGTTCAGCTTGGGTGATTTCTACTACCCTGCCTTCCAGATCACTGATCCGTTCTGCATCATCTAACTTGATGTTGATTCCCTTTAATTTATTTTTCATTTCAGTTATTATATTTTTCAGCTTTCCTTTCATATGTACCATTTATTAAATAATCTTTATCTTCTTTTTGAAAGCTTGCATATTGTTGTATATTACATTTGCCATCTTTATTTTTTTTAAAATATTTATTTAAGTAATCACTACATCCAGTGTGGGGCTCGAACTCATAACCCTGAGACCAAGAGTTACCTATCTTTTAAGTGAGACAGCCAAGTGCCCCTGGCATCTTTATCATTATTACATCTTACATTTGGCATTTTTAAACTTTCTATATATTTTGTTCCTTTAAATTTTTGCCTTTATGTTGTGCCATCTTGTTTAGTAATTTTGTTTTTCAGTAAGTTCTTATGTCTGGTAGCAAAGGATCTCCCTGTAACTCTGCCTTTCTGTTATAAGCTATTTTTTATAATCTTTCCTATTTTTAATAATGAATATTCAATAGTCATCTTCTTGTAATCTTTTCTGTAACCAATAGTTCTTTTGTGATTTTAATTAAGAGTTTGCTTCTAGGAATATAGTATATTCTTCTATTCACATTTTATTAAATTTAGCAATATCTTTTCTTTGGTAAGTTTTACAAAGGTTGGGTATATTCTTACGATGATTCTTAAGATTTTGTTGTTGTTCTTGAGTTACTACAGTGAATGGGTTCTCTTTGTGTCATTTTCCTGCTGATCTTCTAGTAAGGAATACTATGTAACAGGGGAGTATATTTAAAATTTATTTTTTAATGTTTATTTATTTTTGAGAGACAAAGTGAGAGAGGGGGAGGGGCAGAGAGAGGGAGACACAGAATTTGAAGCAGGCTTCAGGCTCTGGGCTGTCAGCACAGAGCCCCAACATGGGGCTTGAACTGTGAGATCATGACCTGAGCCGAAGTTGGACACTTAACTGACTGAGTCACCCGGGTGCCCCCAGGAGAGTATATTGTATTTGCTCTTGCTTTACTAAGCTCTTACTAATCCTTCTGACTTTCTATTAACTTAGAGTACCTTTAAGTGGTCATTTTTAATTTGTTATAAAAATTTATTCCTTTTATTTCTTTTTCATGACTTGGGAAAACCATGTTAATGGCCTGCTTTTTCTTGTTGCAATTTAAAGGTTTAAATTCTAAAGTGATATTGACGATGACAGTAATTTTTGTTTTAATGAAAGTACTTGTATTAAAATAAGGTAGAAGGGGCACCTGGGTGGCTCAGTTGGTTGAGTGTCTGACTCTTGGTTTCGGTTCAGGTCAGGATCTCAGGGTTATGGGATCGAGCCCCGTGTCAGGCTCTGTGTTGAGCATGGAGTCTGCTAAGATTCTCTGTCTCTTCCTCTGACCCTCTCCCCAACTTGTGCGTGCTCTCCCTCTCTCTCTTTCTCTCTCTCTCAAATAAAAATAAATAAATAAAAAAGAATTCTTTTGAAATTAAAATTTTTAAAAATACTTATGTATTTTGAGAGGGAGCGCATATGAGTAGGGGAGGGGAGAGAGAGGGAAAGGATAGGGAGAGAGAGAATCCCAAGCAGGCTCTGTCCTCTCAGCGCAGAGCCTGACACGGGGTTGATCTCATGAACTGAGAGGTGATGACTTGAGCCAAAATCAAGAGTCGGATGCTTCACTGACTGAGCCATCCAGTTGCTCCAGAATTGTTCTTTTTTTGAAGTTTTATTTTTTTTTTAACTTTTTTTATTAAAAAAAATTTTTTTTTTTAACGTTTATTTATTTTTGAGACAGAGAGAGACAGAGCATGAACGGGGGAGGGTCAGAGAAAGAGGGAGACACAGAATCCGAAACAGGCTCCAGGCTCTGAGCGGTCAACACAGAGCCCGACGCGGGGCTCAAACTCATGGACCGCAAGATCGTGACCTGAGCTGAAGTCGGACGCTTAGCCAGTTGAGCCACCCAGGCGCCCCTCTTTTTTTGAAGTTTTAAAACACATTTTGAAATTTATTAAATAGCTTGTGGGCATTTGTTCATATCAAAATTTATTTAGCCTGCTGTTGTACTGTATATATTTTCTTATGGGACTATCATATTTATCATAAGAATAAAACTTCCTTGGACTAAGGAGGACTTACTGCATTGCTCATATTTTGCTAGCATTTTATTTAAAATTGCTCATTAGTGAGGTATGTGTGTTGGGAATATTCAGAAATGTTTGTTTATTTATTTATATCAGGTTTTAGGATTAGTTCAGACTTGTCTCATGCAAGGAATTGGCCATTGTTTGTTTTCTTCAAAGTTTGAGAGACTTGATGAACTGGATTTCTGTGTTTGGTGTTCTTTCAGGACAGCTTTGGTTTTTTCCTGAAATAGTCTGGGCTTTCCTACCTCTTGTTCTTTGTTTTGGTAATTTCTTTTTTTTTTTTCAGTTTGTTTCGTACAAAAGAATAGATTTCTTTGAATGTTTCAAATTTATTATTTTTTATGGATACTGGATCTTCTTAGATTAAAACAGTTTGTATTAATTTTTATAATCTTATTCTCAGATCTGATTTTGTATATGGATTTGAGCTTCCTTTTCCCTTTATTAAACTTACCAGAGGGTTGCCTCATCTTTTCAAGGAACTGGATTATAGTTTTGACTACTGCCATTTTGTTTTATCTAATATATCAGTTTTTTTCCCTCACTGTTTTCTTCATTTTTTTTTTTCCTTTGGGGTTTATACTGTTTTTCTAAGATGTAGTTATGGGCGTGGTTTCTCCTTTTCTTCTTTTAAATTGAAACCTATGAATTTACATGAGCATTTCTTGTTTTCTTCCCTTTTTAAATTATATTCTTAGTTTTCATCTTTATTCAGTTATTATTTAAAGATTTTGTTTTGATTTTTTTTAAAGTTTATTTATTTATTTTGAGAAGGAGGGAGGGAGGGAGAGAGAGAGAGAGAGAGGTAGAGAGAGAATCCCAAACAGGCTCTGCACTCTCAGTGCAGAACTCGAACTCATGAACCATGAAATCATGACCTGAGCTGAAATCATGAGTTGGATGCTTAACAGACTGAGCCACCCATGTGCTCTTTGTTTTGATTTTCAAGTTATAGTCTTTTTTATTTTGTTGCATTTTGATTAGAGATTATAGAGATTATGCCTTGCTTCGCCCCCCCCCCCCTTTTTTTGTAAGTATTGAGACTTAATTTGTGAACTGCTAGCTTTGAAGAGCTCCACACCCAAACTCTTAGTATGGAGCATTTGTGTAAATACACAGTGTCTGTGTTTACTTACTTCTTTTGCTATATGGTGGTAAGAGTGAAATTTTTTCCTTTCAATATGTGTTTGAACAGCGGATGGTGTTCCTAATGACAGTAGTGATAGTGAAATGGAGGACAGAATCACTGCTAATTTGGCAGCTTTGAAACTTGATGAGTGGCTCAATTTCAAACTAGAGCCTGAGGTAAGTTGCTTTTCAGTAGTGTGGTAAGTTTCTTTCATTCTGGTAGTACGAATTGACATACAGCATGATGAAAATTATATCTTTACTATTGAGCCCTTAGTACTTGAGAATATAGTTTGTTTTTCAGTTTTCACAGGGCCCTCATGCATTCTCTGACATACCCCATGGGGTTTATTTTAATAGAGGATTTGAAAAGCCTTGGTGTGGCAGAATCTGAAGCAGGCTCCAGGCTCTGAGCTGTCAGCACAGAGCCCGACACGGGGCTCAAACTCACAAACTGTGAGATCATGACCTGAGCTGAAGTCCGATGCTTAACCGACTGAGCCACCCAGATGCCCCAGAAATGCACATTTTTGGTCAATAATATTACTGGGGGAAGAAAAGGAGGAGAATGTGTATTAAGTGGTGAAATCCACTAAATCAATATTCTGTTACACCAGACAGTTTAAAGACAAGGGAAATGTTGTAATATAATTTCAGATTATATTTCATTTGGCTAAATTAGAGTTTAAAGTTGCTTTGTCATGTTGAAAGTTTGCTGCAATAATTTTTCACATAAACATTTAGACTTGAACTCTGAGACTAGATACAGCATGATTATTTTGCTTTTAAAATCTGTTAAATAGCTAAAATTAACAATTTGAAAACTACAACAAAGAAAAAGTTGAAGCAGTGTGATTGTTACATCATTGAATCACTTCTAATTGTCAACTGTTAGTATTAAAAGATCATTCTGTATCCTTTTTTGGGGGGATGTGGTCGGCTGAGCTGTCAGTAATCGACAGCTGGCTAGGTTTAACTTTTTTACTGTCTGTTCATTCATCACTTCAGCCGACAGTTGTCTCACTTCCCTTTTCACCAGCCATTCCCTTCACTGAAACTGTACTTGCCAAGGTCAGCATGTGCCCCACATTGTCCAAGCCAGCCTGCCGTCCTTGAATTCATTCTTTCTCTCCTGTTGGGCACTATTTATTGTCCATACCCTTCCTTTCATAATTCTGCCCTTCCTCATTTTTCCTCCTCACCCCTGTCCCAACGTCTTTGTCACAAGTTAACCGTGACATGAATCTTTCCTGATTCTTCTTTCTTCAAAGGTCATTCCTTCTTAGGTTCTTTCACTGACTCTTCTCTATGTGTCTGTGCCTTAAATGTTAGATATTCTCTACTACTCCAGGCCTTTCTCTGGTCTTTTTATGTCTCTGTACAATCTCCAGGGACCTTACCTCTCTGTGTAGATTCAGTAACCACTTATGCAATGATGACTCCCAAGTCTGTCTATATTTTTAGCTTAGGCCTTTCTGTGAACCTTTCTGTGAATCTAGCTGCCTTCTGGGCATCATCATCTGGATGTTCTGTAGGCACTAAAGCACGAATGGAACTAAATGTATTTTTCTTCATTTACTGTGCTGTTACCATTTCCAGTTTTAATCACACTCTGCCACACATTGTTTACCGTCTCTTCCATCGGACTGTTTCATTTGATTTTGTGTCTCTAGTGCCTTCAATATGGTAAATAAGAATTTTTATCTCGTTCGGGCAACAAAAAGAATGAAATTAATAGTAAATTACATAAAATGTAATACCTTAGAATACATTAACTCCTTACAAGTTGCAGAGTGTTCTTTGGAAACAGTTGCAGTCTTTAACTAGTAAATGGGTGTCTTGCAAGTAGGGTATACATTTTGCTTGTACCTGTTTGAACTTTCATTACAGGCAGCCAGTTTATTGCTGCAGCTCAGACAGAAGTGGCACAGCTTATTTTTACGCCGAATGAGAGCTCCATCCAAACCTTGGTCTCAAGTTGATGAAGCTACCATAAGAGCAATTATAGCTGTTTTAAGCACTGAGGAACAGTGTGCAGGTTTACAGCAGCCGTCTGGGATAGGCCAGAGGCCAAGGCCTATGTCTTCAGAAGAACTTCCTTTGGCATCATCTTGGAGGTCCAATAATAGCAGGAAAACTTCCGCAGATACTGAATTTTCTGATGAGTCTGCTACTGCAGAAAGGTACATTTATACCATTTTATCAAAACGGGGACATTTTCTCCAGGAAAATGAGTTATTTCTCATAGAGTCGGATGTTTTAATAATATTTAAAAATTGCTTAGAGTGTACGTAAAAGGTTACGATAAAATGTGAAGAGTGTTTTACTTTTAAAACATAGTTCTTGTAAGTAGTAAGATAATATGAGGGATTTTAAGCTACTGGTATCTGTGAGTCATTTAATAAGGAGATTTTTTTATTGGGAAAGACTAAAAATGTTTAATTTCAAGACTTCACAGATTTAGGGTCTATTAAAAAGATAGCAGTATATTAAAATTCTGTATTTTAGTTGATATATGGCAAGCAACATCTTTCGCATATGTCTTGTAGCAAGAAGTATGGGTTATGGCCATTTAAAAGAACAGCCTCTTCACAAGTCTTACCTGGGTATCAGTAGTGCTGACTAGTATTCCTACAGAAGATCAATTATTCATTCACTTTCTCAGTGACACATTGAATGTGTGTTGTTCTTGGTGTAAGAGAGATAGCAGTGTACCAAACAGACAAGAGCTCTTCCTTCAAAGAGTTTTTATTTTATCCAGCAGAGACATATGATGCAGAAGTAAACAAATTTACTCTAGTGGCAAAATCTATTACAGTTTAGCCAGGTTCTTCTTTTCTTTCTAACATTTAGCAATTATACATGGTATTTTTATTTACTATATGATTATTATTAATAAGAGAGTTCTTATATTGAATTATTTATCAAAAAACGTATTATGATGATATAATAGTGGTTATAATGAATCATTGGCCATGATTCAGAAATATTTGTTGTGTAATAAAAACCCCATTTGTTAGAATCAAATTTATATTTTATAAGAATCAGAATTTCTTTATATCAGTTAAAAATTTTTTTTTTACCCTGTTAGAATTGATAATGAACACGACATTCTTGCCTGTGATGCTGGTTTCGGCAGTACTGGTAGAAAGTCTGTGTAGTAAGAATATTTCATTGTTAAAAAGAAAAATAGAACAGTGGAAACATAAAAGATACATGATGTTTACTGTTTTGTAAGGATCGAATGGGGCTGTTTGTACCTTCTTTTGGTCAGATTTGCACATTTGAATGAAGCATAAGGCTTCATTAGGTCCGACTTGAATTACAGAGAAGTAATTCGTACTGGTTTCCAAGTTCTTCACATACTGCATTTGAGGAATAATTCAGTCGTTTGCCAAGAAAACCTTTTCATCATGTGCGTTCCTGAATGTTTCTCTCTGATGTAGGCCCTCCTGAGCGATAGAAGAATGAAAAGCACATTTTCTTCTTAGACACTGCTCACTTTTTGGAAATATCAATCTAAAAGCTTACTCGAAAAATGGTTTAGAATATGGGAATAGATTTCCATAGACATTGCTAGGTGGTAGTGTTATTCCTAGGCCCATCTATAAAAATATGTTAGGTTCGTAGAGACTCTGTGTGTTGTGTATGTATGGGTCTGTGTGTATACATACAGATGTATATACGTGTGTGCCTATATATTCATATATACACACATACACACACATTTTTAGGAGAAAGGCTACTTGTTTCTCAATAAAAGTAATACATGCTTATTTAGTAAAATAAATTTAATACAATTAAAATTATAAAGTGTAATATTAGTTACAATTCAGATATTGTCTTATAAATTCAGTTTTTCACCTGTGATACCATTTTCATTTCCTTACAAGTTGTAGTCTGGCACTCTTCGTTCTTACCTGTTGAACAGGGAGATACAGAACTTCATCTACTTTCAGGCTTTTGGTGTTATTGATAGATAATGCCTTGAAGTTGATATATTTGGTGGGGAAAAGAATGAGGACTCTTAGGAAAATTTATACTTGAAAGGAGAAATTACAGTCTGTGGGATTACTTCTTAGAGAAAAAGTATCTGTAGTTCATGTTTTCACTGTACATTGGCAAGATATATGGTACATAATTTTTTTTTAATTAAAAAAAATTTTTAAGTTTATTTGTTTTGAGAAAGAGCACGAGCAGGGGAGGGACAGAAAGAGAGGGAGAGAGAATCTCAAGCAGGCTTCTTTCTGACAGCGTGAGCCCGATGTGGGGCTTGAACCCACAAACTGAGATCATGACCTGAGCCAAAACCAAGAATCGGACGCTCAACCAACTGAGCCACCCAGGCGCCCTCATAATTTCTTTAAATAAAAACATTTTAGGGTGCCTCAGTTGCTCATTTGGTTAAGCATCCAACTCAGTTACTGCTCAGGTCATGATCTTATTGGTTTGTGAGTTTGAGTCCCGGTTTTACCGTCATTAAGTTCTTTTGCCTAATTTTCAGGTCTCTGAGGTTCTAGGGTAGGAACGATGGGATTTTAGGGGTTGAATTTAGATAATGCATTGGACATCAATTCATGAAGGAAAAAACCCCTGAAAGGTTGTTTTTTATACTTCTTAAGTTGTTGATGATTCAGATGTGCATTCCTTATATATTCTTTTGTTAATACCTTTAGGCTTTAACTATTTTATTTCATTTGTGAAAGAAATAATCCTGGATTAAAGATACTGATTGAAGCAGGGGCGAATTGTGGGGATAAGCTATTTTAACTTGTCTTGAAGGAAGAGTAATTATTAATTACAAGACTCTCTGGAAGCTTATGAATTATTGAACACATCATTTTTTGTTTTAAACGCTTATTATAAATATTATTTAACACAGCAAACTAAATGATATACCGTAATGAACTCCATATCTGTATCTAACCAAATATTCTTTGTTCTCTCCTGCTTTTTTTGTTTGTTTACATATTTTATTTTTTTAAAAAAGTTTTGTAAATTTTTTAATTTTTATTTTGAGAGAGAGAGCCAGAGCAGGAGCAGGGGAGGGGCAGAGAGAGACGGAGACACAGAATCCGAAGTAGGCTCCAGGCTCTGAGCTGTCAGCACAGAGCCCAAGGTGGGGCTCGAACTCACGAGCTGTGAGATCATGACCTGAGCCAAAGTCACTGACTGAGCCACCCAAATGCTTCTGGTTTAGATATTTTAAAATAAATCCCACATATCATGTCATCTTACCCTTCCATATTTAAATATGCATCTCTTAAAAATAGAGGAATTTTTCCTACATAATCGAATTCCAATGATCAGTCCCAGTAAAATGGCTCATGCATTTCTCAGGGCGTCATGTGTCTTGAGTCTCTCGTGATCCAGAGCAGGTCCTCTCGACTTTTTTGAAGAAAGTGGGGTGGTGATACTGTGAGGTGTACCACATTCTGGATTTGTCTGTTTCTTCTTGGCATTATTTGTTGCCATACCATATATATTTTGTGTAAACTGGCAGTTAGCTCTCACGGCTTGATTAAATCCAGTATTTTGACAAGTATAATTTATAGGTGGTGCTGTGAACTTTACTATTGAATGACTTTAGGATGTACTCAATAATATCTTTTCTTTTTTATGTCTGGTTATTCCACAAAGACATATAATTTTAGAAAAATTATAAAATTCCTGACTCCCAGGAATGTGAAAGACCTCTTTTCCTAAACCATCATACAAGAGGCTAGGAATTTAAAAAAATTTTTTTTTTCAACGTTTATTTTATTTTTGGGACAGAGAGAGACAGAGCATGAACGGGGGAGGGGCAGAGAGAGAGGGAGACACAGAATCGGGAACAGGCTCCAGGCTCTGAGCCATCAGCCCAGAGCCCGACGCGGGGCTCGAACCCACGGACCGCGAGATCGTGACCTGGCTGAAGTCGGACGCTCAACCGACTGCACCACCCAGGCGCCCCTAGGAATTTTATAAGGGAAATCATACTTTGAGTATTTGTTAACATTAAGTTAAGGACTTCTGTAGATCGCTAATACATATATTTTTACCTCTTTCTGTAAGTGTCCCTTAATGTCCCTGATGGTATTAAACTTCTAAATGTATGAGGGGGCACCTGGGTGGCTCAGTCAGTTAAGCGTCCGACTTCGGCTCAGGTCATGATCTTATGGTTTGTGAGATCGTGCCCCATGTCAGGCTCTGTGCTGACAGCTCTGAGCCTGGAACCTGCTTTGGATTCTGTGTGTGTGTCTTTCTCTGCCCCTACCCCACTTGTGCTGTCTTTTTGTCTCTCAAAAATAAAAATTAAAAAAAAATGTAAGAGAAGAATGAAATTCCCTTTTTAAATACTATTCCGTAAATCATAACGCCCCTGAAACTTTGGTTTGAAATGGCATCTGCTTTCAATCACGAGCTAGTATGTAACCGATCTTTGCTTCCTCCTTCTCACTCAAGAGTATTGATGAAATCTCCATCTCCAGCACTACACCCACCTCAGAAGTACAAAGATAGAGGAATTTTACATCCTAAACGAAGCACTGATGACCGATCGGATCAGTCTTCTGTGAAATCTACAGACAGCAGTAGTTACCCAAGTCCTTGTGCCAGCCCTTCTCCTCCACCCTCAGGAAAGGTAGGGTATCCACAAGTTGATCCCTAGCACATCTAATGTTGCAGATTTAAGCAAAATTATAGAACAGTTCTACTTTTCAGTTACTCATCATGGTCTTTGTTCTTGATATAAATTGAATCTGGTAAACTTGAAACACCTTGAGTAAATTTTTTAGTCTTTCTTGCTTGCCAAACATTTCTCATTGTTACCATCTTGGGATGTTTTAAAACTAACTGATCATTTACTGAGTTATATGCCATAACTCAGCCATCTGTTATTTCCTTTCTGTATCATTAGAACCTTTTTTGTTAAAAAGATGGTCTCAAATTAGTTTTTTTTTTTCAGTTATTTATTGATTTTTCCAATACAGTGGTTATATTAAAAAAATACAAGACAGGGTGGGGTTAGGAAGATAGATGTTGGTAGGGAATTGAGAACTATGCATCTTTTAAAAAATTTGTAATACAAATGATTTCAAATGTTTAGAATATGTTACTTTTATTTCTCCTGTTGTTGGTACTAAGTAAGTATTTCATTAGGGTTATTTAGCTATATGTTGTGTTCTGGTGAGGAAAATATCTGCTGAAACACTCTTGTTAAATAAGAGGAAAATAAAATGTTTTTTGTGGATTTGCATTCTTAGGTTTTGAGGTTTTTATTTTAAAATACCTTTATTTAGATACGCACAGTAAAATTCACCACTTTGTACAATTCAGTGAATTTTGACAAATGTATATAATTATGTAACTGTATCACAGCCAGGTACAGAACATTGCCATCACCCTTGGATCATGACAACCACTGAACTGAACTGCTCTCTGTCCCTAGAGTTTTGCCTTTTCTGGAATTTGCTGTAAATGGAATCCTATGCATGTAATTTTTTGTGACTGGCTTATTCATCCAAATTGTTCAGTGTATTATTAGTTTATTACTTCTTATTGCTGAATCGTATTCCACTCTTTGGCTCATACCCATAGAATGTTTATCCATTCACCCGTTGATGAACATTTGGATTGTTTCCACTTTTGGGCTGTTGTGAATAAAGCTGCTATAATATTTGAGGGCAAGTTGTTGTGTGTACGTATGGTTTCTATTCTTGGGTAAATACCCAGGAATAGGATTGTTGGGTTGTATGGTTAAGTGTACGTTTATCTTTACAAGAAGCTATCCCCACCATTTTCCAAAATGGCTGTACTTTTTTTATTCCCTTCCATCATCTATTGAGAGTCCCATTTACTCCATATTCTTGACAATAGTAATCTCTTTACTGTTGGCCATTCTAGTGGGTATATAGTGATCTCCCATTTTGTTTTTAATTTACACTTCCCTGATGACTAATGATGGTGAGCATCTTTTTATGTGCTTATTTACCATTCCTGAATTTTCTGGTGTGGAGTAGCTGTTCAGATTGTTCAACTTTTTTGGTTGTTTATGGGTTGTCTTCTTTATTTAGTAGTAAGATTTAAAAATATATTTCTAGATACAAGTCTTAATTATATATGTTTTGCAACTTTTTCTAATAGGCTGTGCCTGCATATTCATTTCCTTAACAGTGTCTTTTGAAGAGCAAGTGTTTAATTTTGATAAAGTCTACCATATCTATTTTTTTCTATTTTGGTGTCATCTGTTTTTCTATTATGGTTCATATTTTTTGTGTTCTAAGACGTCTTTGTTTAATTCAGGATTACAAAGTATTTCTCCTAGAAGTGTGACAGTGAGAGCTCTTATATTTAGGCATATGATCTGTTTTGAGTTAAGTTTTGTTTATAGTATGGGTGGATCAAGGATCATAATTTGGCATTTGCCTATACAATTGTTCTAGCACCATTTGTTGGAAAGATTCTCCTTTTCCCATTGAAATTATCTTGGCATCTTTGTCAAAAATCAATTGACTGTAAATATGTGGTCAATTTATTGGACTGTATCCTGTTTCATTGATCTGTATACTACTTCTCTGTTTTTGCCTTTGCTACGGTAGTTTGATTATAGTAGCTTTATACTAAGTTGAAACCAGTTAATTTTTTTCTCCAGCTCTTTTGTTCTTTTTAAAAATTGTTTTGGGGGGCCTGGGTGGCTGAGTGGGTTAAGTGTCCGACTTCGGTTCAGATCATGATCTCATGGTTTGTGAATTTGAGCCCCACATGAGGCTGTCTGCTGTCAGCACAGAGCCTGCTTCAGATCCTCTGTCCTCCCCTCCCTGCCCCTCTTCTGCTTGGTCTCCCTCTCTTTCAAAAATACAGAAACATTCAAAAAATAATAAAAAAATTGTTTTGGTATTCAGGGTGTTCTAATGGTCTTTCATATAAGCTTTAGAAAATGCTTGTTAATTTCTACAGAAACATATTTTGGTATTGAGTGGAATTGCATTGAATTTGTAGATCAGTTTGAAGAAAATTGATAACAGTTTTTAGTTTTATAATCTATTAAGTGTGGTATATATATGCATTTCTTTTGATATTTAATTTTTCACAAGTGTTTTGTAAATTTCAGAGTTCAGGTATTATACATTTTTTGTTAAGTTGATCACTAAATATTTTATATCTTTGATGCTGTTTGTAAAATTTTTAATTTCCAGTTGTTCATTGCTATGATTTAGAAATACATTTGACCTTTGTATATTTACCCAATATGCCGTGATCTTACTTCATTTATTAATTCTGTTCGCTTTATATGAGATTTCTCAGGACTTTCTACATGGATAACCATTTCATCTATTAATAAAGGTAGTTTCACTTTTTTCCTTTCCAGTATTGATTCTGTTTATTTTTTTTCTTGTCTGTTCTCTCTGGCTAGAACCTCCAGTAAAATGTTTAATAACAGTGTTGAGAACAGACCTTTGAGGGAAAACAACCCCCCCTCCCAACCCCCATCCCTCATTAAATCTGTCACCACTTATCATAATGTAACTGTGGGATGTTTCTTTTTGGATTTAGTTTGCTGAGAGGGTTTATTAGGAATAAATGTTGAATTATGTTCAGTGCTTTTTTTGTCTTTACATCTGTTGAAATGATAACACAATTTTTTTTCTTCTATTAATAAAGTGGGTTTTGTTGACTGCTTTTCTAATGTTTATACCTCGCAGGATCATGACATATTATGGTGTTAAATATTAATGGATTTGATTTTGCTTAATCAGAACTTCTGTTAAATTTGGGAACTTTGTTCATGAGGGATATTCTGTAGTTCTCTTGTGTTATTTTTGTATTGTTTTGGTATCAGGGTAATGCTGGCCTCATAAGATTATTTGGGAAGTTTTCTTTCTACTTCATTTTTGCAAGAGATGCATAGGATTGATATGATTTTTTCCTTAAATGTTTGGTAGAATTCACTACTGTAGCCATTTTTTAACTTTCCCTAGTATATCTTGAATTAGTTTTATGCCACCTCAGGTATAGTTTGAGAACCTTGCAACAGTGTATTTTTATTTTACCCTTTAGTTCTTTGTGTTACTTGTCTCATACATTTTATTTGTATATTTGTTATACTTGCTGCAGTGTATTGGTTTTTTTTTCCTTCATAGTAAATTATCTTGTACCAAAAGTCAGAAAAATGTGTTTTATATTTACTAAATATTTACCATTTCTTGTGTTCTTTATTCTTTTGTGTTGATGAGGATTTCTATCTTGGATCATACGCTTCTGTCTGGAAACCTTCTTTGAACATTTTCTCTGGTACAGATATTCTGGAAATGAATTCTTTAAGCTTTTGTCTGAAAAACCATTTTTCACTGTTATTTTTGGAAGCTATTCAAAATTTTTTTGTGATGTTTATTCATTTTTTGAGAGAGAGAGACAGACAGACTGTGAGTGGGGGAGGGGCAGAGAGCGAGGGAGACACAGAATCCGAAGCAGGCTCCAGGCTCTGAGCTGTCAGCACAGAGCCTGACATGGGGCTTGAGCTCACGAACTATGAGATCATGACCTGAGCCAGAGTTGAAAGCTTAACCGACTGAGTCACCCAGGCGCCCCAAAAGCTGTTTTTACTGTGTATATAATTCTAGGTTGACAGTGGTTTTCTTTTGTTACTGCAAAGATGTCACTCCATTATCTTCTCGCTTACAGTTTCTGAGGGAGGTTTACTATCATTTTTGTTTCTCTGTATATAATGTTTCTCTGTATATAATGTATCTTTTTCCTCTACCTACTTTTAAGATTTTCTCTTTATCACTGGTTTTCAGCAATTTGATTTTAATATGTTTCTATTTGTAGTTTTTTTAAATGTTTTTTCTTATGATGAGAACTTTTTTTAATTTTAATCTTTTTAAGTTTATTTACTTATTTTGAGAGAGAGAGAGAGAGAGAGAGAAGGGAAGAGGCAGAGAGAGAGCGGAGAGTGAGAGAGAGAATCCCAAGCAGGCTGTGCACTGTCAGCACAGAGCCCGACATGGGACTTGAAGTAACAAACTGCAATATCATGACCTGAGCTGAAACCAGGAGTCGGAAGCTTAACTGGCTGAAGCACCCAGGTGCCCCGTTTGTAGTTCTTATTTAATCTATGTATTCATAGTTTCCATCAAATATGGAAAAATTAAGATAATTATTTCTTCACGTATTTTTTATGTCTCACCGCTTCCCCCTCCTTTCTGGGACTAGGGATATACAAGTGCAAGACCACTTGATACTATACCATAGGTCACTGAGGCTGTCTTCATTTTTTTCAATTCTTTTTTGGTTTCTTTGTTTCATTTGAGATGGTTTCTCTGGCTATGTTTTCAAGTTCACTGATGTTCTTATTTGTAGTGTCTCATCTGCTGTGCATTCTTTCTAATGTATTTTTCACTTTAAATATTATATCTCCATCTCTAGAATGCCCTTTGGGCCTTTAAAAAACACTTTCCATTTCTCCTTTAAGGCACATGCATGTTTACTTTACCTTCTTGAACACAGTGAATATATTTATAATAGCTGCTCTGACATTTTTTTGTCTCCTAATTCCATCATCTGTCAGATGTGAATCTTTTCCTGTTGGTTCATTTTTTCCCTGGTTATGGATCTGTTCTCCTCCGTTTCTTTGCATTCCTTATAATTTCATTTGGCTGCTAGATTTTTGTTGTATTCCTTTAAGTAGTGTCAGACATCTCTCTGGTATACCGCTAAGTAAGTGGCAATCAGTTAAATGTTTTTAAGATTTTTCTTTTAAGTGTTATAGCAGGTCCTGAGCAGATTTTATTCTGGTACTAATTTAGTTTCAGTACTAAGGCATGAGCCTTCTATGGGCTGATGCCCTATGTATTAACAGTTGTTTCCATTCTGGCTGGGGAGAACAGCAAATACTCTGAACCCCGTGTGAGCTCCAGGAATTACTTAGTTTACTGCTTTTGTCTGGATCTTTCCCTGGCGTTAAATCATGTTTTCTCACTCACGTGCAGGTCAGTACTTGTCAGAAACTTGTGGGTACCCTTCTTCAGTTCCTTGGGAACTCTCCTTCTGTGCAAATCTCTTATATCCAGCACACTGCTGTGCAAATTCTAACCCTGGCCTCTCAATTCCAGGCTCTCTCTCTGCAGTTCACTGAGACTGCTGGATTCTGTTTCCCTTCCCTGCACTGTTGCCTAGAAGCTGTATCCAGGCGGGAAGCTGGAGCAAATTTTTGCTTTGTTTTCAGCCTTTGAAAGTGTATTAAAATAGTTTCTGAAAATACATTTGGAATATAAATCAAAGTTTATAATCCCAAATCCTTCTTGATAAGAGATTTTGAATGCTCTGAAAATGAGTGCTTGGTTTTGGCTCTGTAACCTCATTCTGAGGGAGCCTTGTGTAGCTTTTCAGGCACAATGGAGCTATTTGCACTTGTTGGATATTTGGTAAAATACTTTGGTTCATATGTTTATGAAGATGTTATTTAATGGAGCCTATTGATTTTGAAAGGTCAAATTACCTTTCAAGAACTTATGCATTCTTTTATAGGGCTCAAAATCTCCTTCACCAAGACCAAACATGCCTATTCGATACTTCATAATGAAGAGTAGCAATTTGAGAAACCTTGAAATTTCTCAGCAGAAGGGTATCTGGTCTACAACCCCTAGTAATGAGCGGAAGCTAAATCGAGCCTTTTGGGAAAGCAGCATGGTTTACTTGGTATTTTCTGTTCAAGGATCTGGACATTTCCAGGTGAGCCATCCTGAACCAGTAAAATGGGGTTGTTTTGGCTGCAGGTTAGACCACAGAGATTAAAACAAAAACCAAAAACACCCTGGCTTTTTATTGCATCAGAATGCAAGACTGCATTTTGCTTGACAGAATGAGGAATGTATTGTACCTCTTCAGGGGAATGCTAATAGGGATCCCTTTGTTTTCCTTGTCTTACCAGAATCTCTTTAGATAAACCATTTCTCCTTCTGAAGGTAACTTTAGATTTACTGTTTCTCAGGTGGATTAAGAGTAATGAGAAGCTTGACTTTTTTGGTAAAATGTTTATTTAAATAGGCAAGCAAGTTAGAATTGACAATCCAGAAACTTGAGTATGTTTCTTAACTCATCTTGACTTGAAGTATAATATTTGGAAGTAAAACTTATAGGTTAGAGTATATCCATTTATCATGGAATAAATGTGGGTTTAGGGCTGTTAATACATTATTTAGAAAATATCTGTTCGTACTAAAATTATGTTAGAAGGCTAGAAATGTGCTAATACATCTTTTTTATAAAAAACAACAACTTCTTTTTGTTTTTGTTAGATATCTGTTGTTTTTATATTACACTTTACCTTAAAATTAAAGAAAAAAAAATGGAGAGCTTTCTCTGGTAAATTTTATTCAGACATTTAATATCCTCCTTACCTTTCCCCTTGCCCTCATTTGACCCACAGGGATTTTCTAGGATGTCTTCGGAGATAGGAAGGGAGAAGAGCCAGGACTGGGGCTCCGCTGGACTGGGAGGAGTGTTTAAGGTGGAGTGGGTCCGGAAGGAGAGTCTTCCCTTCCAGTTTGCACACCATCTACTTAACCCCTGGAACGACAACAAGAAGGTCCAGATCAGCAGAGACGGGCAGGTATACGGTGGCCTTTCATATTTGCCTTCCTCTGGTCTCTTGGTTTTGTTTTGCTGCTACGCAGTGGTCCGTTTGAGAGGGAGACGTAGGAGTACAAATTGTATATTCTGTGTGCACACGGGAGACGGTGGCTCAGGTTTGGAAAAGAGTTAGTATAAAAACCTGCTCGTACGGGTGTTTGACAGAGCTTATTGCTTTTTTAACATTTGGTAAATTTGACTTCTCTCCATCATTACGGACAAAGTCTTTCATAAGTTACTTCATGGAGGCTCCCGTTGTCTTAGTAACTGAAGCTCTGATCAAAATGGAGTGTAATTCTGAAGTAATCTCACTGAGGGTAACAACAGCATCTGACATCTGTGTGCCTTAACTAATGATGCAATATAAAAACAGCCTTTTTATATTTTTATGACTTGTTTTGTTTCTGTTATGTTTGCTTTGCCTTCATCATTGCTGCTGACATGTATTTTAAGCTGGTTAAGGGGATGGGAATTAACATATATATGGACTGCTGTGCTAGCTGCTTTCCATGAGGTCATTTAATTTAATGCATATTGCTTTATTAGCTCAATTTTAGGTAGGAGAAATAGGAGAAATTATTCTAAGGTCACACGGCTAATAATCTATTTAAACCAGTGTGGCTCGCTTTAAATCGCCATATGAAAAGTATTTGGGTTCTTTTTAAATGCACATCGTATCACAAGAGGACTATAAATGACATTCTTTTCAGTTGTATCAGAATATTTTAATTTTTATTCTATACTAAGGATTTTGAAATAAGCCTAATTCCTAAGATAAAAATGTTATATACTCATCATAATTTCTTAACAACCCCCCCAAACATCGAATACGCTAGGTTTCACAGTAAACCTTTGAAAGTTGAAGTGGAGTGGTTTTGGTAAATCTCCATTTAAAAAAAAATTCATGATTGCCACATAGTAAAAAGCTCCAGAAGAACTCCCTGGAAATCTCTTTACCGTTTTGTCACAAATAGTTGCTGTATTTGAGGGTTAACTACAATCTTGAAGTCTGGAAGTGAACTTCACAAACCTGAACATAGGTTGCATGGTTTTATCATGTTCTGGTAGAAAAATGAAATTCAAAGTACTTCTCTTACATTTCTATCAGCATAGGTTTTGGTGATTAAAAAAAAATTCAATCCATATCCCTCGGTGTTTGTTGTGTGACTTGTGATTTATCCAGGAGCTCGAGCCTCAGGTTGGTGAACAGTTGCTCCAGTTATGGGAACGCCTTCCGTCAGGAGAAAAAACCACGACTGATTGACCTGAACTCAGGTTACACTATACTTGACTTTGAGTACTGGCAGTATTTATGATTGTTAAGGATATCTTTCAAATTACTTACCCCCCCCCCTTTTTTTTTTTAACTCTTTCAGATCTTTTAACTACAGAAGAACATTGCACCTACTTATAACCACTGAATGCACTGACTTCTAAAAACTGAGGTGGAGATAGATGTGTGTGATGAATGAATGGGCTTTTCCGGCTTAATGTTACTTTAGAACCACCATCTTCATATAAAAGAGAAAAGGGTAATTTAAATTTTTATAGTGATCATAAAGAATGATTATGTAATGTTTGTTAATTATATGTTTATACTTGAATAAAATAGTAGCAGGTAACACTATTTGGCACAACAGCAGTTACTTGAAAAACATACTTAATTTAAAGTTAAACATTTCGTTTGTTGAAAACACTGACTCATAACTCTTATTGATGATTTTTTTAATGAAAAGTAAGTTGTTTCCTTTTAAGAAGGGCCTGTATCAGTACCTCTGAGCACCATTTTAGAAGAGCTAAATAACTCTTAAGGTTTGTCATTAAAAACAATCCAATTCTAAAAATGTCCCTTTTACAAATAGTGTGTGTTAAGGACTATTCATTCTGCCATTTTAAACCTGAGCTACATTACGAAAAAAAGGAGAGATGTTCTTTTTTCTTTGATTATAAAGTGCAGTAAAATCTGAAGAAAATCAGGGTTCTTTCCTGTCTTTGACTGGATCAGATTTAGTGCTTAGTTTTATTCCTGGTCCTGCATCTTACCCCCTCCTCTCATCTTACAACCTTCACACCTCTCTTACCTGAGCACGGTAATTACGACCTCTCTGCTTTGGCTAGAGAAACTCAGCTTGGACAAGTTAAAAATGTAAACAAATGGTGCATGTTACAACAAGTGCCCAGCAGTTAGCAGGAGCCTGGTTGGTGTATGTCTTTCAAACAAAAGCCACACCACAATTCAGCATGCCTCCTGCTTGCTTTCCAGTACTTTTCAGGCTCCTTGCGTTTTTGGATTTCTTACTGTTTTGCATTTATGGTTTAATAAACGGGGGGGGGGGGTGTAATTTTTGGTAAACCAGTGATAGTGCCAGCTCTCCTGTTTCCTTGTCTTCTCAGGATTATTTGATCTCTTTACCACCACTCTGTAAAGTTTCCCCAGTGGCTTTTTGAAGGAATATAGAGGTACAGGGAAATACAGAATGAAAGAAATGTCTTGGTTATTGAGCTCTAAATAGAACAGCTTTGATAGCACTTCTCATGATATATTTGGGTTATTGAAGAAAAACCAACATGAATCTAAAGGCAAGAAGAAAACTCTTAAGGCTTTTTTGCTTCTGCATTTGAAAAAAAAGAAGTGAAAAGTCCTGGGTCAACATAAGATCTTGGGAACCCGTCTTTCTCTTGGAAAGTATGGTGTGTTGGTGCAGTAGTTTAGAATGGCAGCTGTGAATTTTGCCTGTGTTTGTCGTTACTGGCTTTTTGTTGGTTTGTTTTATACTTTGAGATACACTTGTAAATTGAGCCTATGTGAATTATGTTCTGCTGTATGTGTATTACAGGTTTTTTTTCCCTATTAGAGCAACTTGTGTTTTTTTTCTCCTGATACTGTATATACATTTTGTTTGGGTATATATTTAACAGTTTATGGTATTCTAAATTTGGAAGTGAGAACTTTTAAAAAATAAAACTTGTTTTAATGTCCTTCTGTTTTCTAATATCTAGCCCTGTATGTAAATGATGAGTTTGTTGATATTTAAAATGAACACAATTTGAATGTAATTAAAATGCTGTTTTTGGAAGAGATGAACTTTAAATATACTTATTAAATGAAATTCTGTTAAATTATTTAGGTCTTATTATTTCTGATGCTCTATATTAGGGCTTATCAATAATATCCCTTGAGATATTAATGAGTTTCAAACACCTTGAAGAATACTAAATTGATGTATAGAAGGTGATGATTTCACATCAGTATCTCTTTCTTGAAAAAATTTGCCTCATTACCACAAGGGGATGGAAAAAAAAGCTCAAGATGTGTTCAACATAAAATCTTTTGAATATGGTAAACTACGCAGCCATTCACCTTGCATTCAGTCAGGACACTGCATTTTGGTGATGTGCCACTATATCCACTGAACACCCCAGCCTCACTCTACCAATTACAGCAGAGATTGGCGGGGCGGGGGGCATAATCTCAAATGTGTACTTCAAGAAAAGACCGAATTTGAGAATTTAAGAATTTGTCCTCAGAGACTCATTCTTCACCATATAAAATCTTACTTCCTGCATCAGGGAAAGTCTTGAGGACTAAGTCAGGTGAGCTTCACCCCTGGATCCGCTCGGACCACACATGTAACCGACAAGTGACAACACCTGCCAGTCTGTGTGAGCTTCCCGTGACACAGGTGCTTGCTGTGCTCCAGCACTCTCCACAGCTCCTCCCCACACACTGGACCACACAGTGCACTCAGTGTGCCCAGGGCCACCAGGTGTGCTTTGGTCTTTCCAGCCAAGGGTGAAATTTCCGCTTGACTGTCTCCTAAAACCACAATCGCTGCATTTTCAAAATGGAACTAGTGTTCCTTCCTACAGCCTGTTCCACTGAAAGCTGTTCTCTCTTCAGCTGATGCTGGTTCCAGCCTTTCGGTTGCTCAGACCAGAAAATGTACAGTCATCCTTGACGCATTTCTTTCTCTCGGTCTCATCCATCAGAAAATTGTCTCGGGTCTACCTTCAAAGTAGATCTAAACTCGGACTGTTTCTCCTCACGTCGGTCACACCCACTCTGGACTGAGCCATGGTCCTTGTTGCCTGGGTTATTGAAATTGCTTCTTGAAATTTGTCTTCCCTCTTTGACCTCTCCCCGCTGCCACCAGTCTGTTTTCCACACAGAAACCAGTGATCCTTTTAAGAACATTCAATTTGTGTCACTTGGCTGCTCAAAGCCCTGTAGTGGCTCCCCGTTTCTCTCAAAAGCCAAAGTCCTTCCCATGGCACAGATACCTGCATGATCTGGTCCTGTCTTGTACCTCAGGCGGTCTCTCCCCAACTCCTATACTTACTCCACTTCAGCCATACTGACCTCCTGACTGTTTCTTGAATATAGGTGTGTTCTAGCCCAGAGACGAGTGTGAGCTCTTAATTCTGCTTGGAATGCTCTTCCTAGAACCTCTGGCCAACTGGTCATCACCATGTAGTGTTAGGTTTACTGGAAAGTTTTCTGTGAAGCTTATTTAATTTTTATTTCATTTTATTTATTAAAACATTTTTTTAATGTTTTTATTTATTTTTGAGAAAGAGAGGGAGGAAGAGACAGAGCACAAGCTGGGGAGGGGCAGAGAGAGGGAGACACAGAATCCAAAGCAGGCTCCAGGCTCCTAGCTGTCAACACGGAGCCTGATGTGAGGCTCCAAGTCACGAACCATGAGATCATGACCTGAGCTGGAATCAAGAGACCCTTAACCGACTGAGTCACCCATGCGCCCCAAGAGCTCATTTAACTTTTATACTTAACATACAGTAAAATCAATGTTTCCTAGATGTGCAACTCTGAATTTTGACACACAGACTTGTAGAACTTTGTCCTTGATGAGGATATAGTTCCATCACCCCTGAAACTCCCTCATGCCATTTCTTTGTACTTAGAGCCTCCTCTCACCCATAATGCCAGCCAGCCTTAGGTCTGTTCTCTGTCATTCTAGTGTTCTTCTTTTGAGGATATTACATAAATAGAATCACACAGTGACTGGCTTCTTTCACTCAGCATAAGGCCTTTGAAACTGATCCCAGTTGTGTATATCAAAGTTCATTTCCTGTTACTGCTGGGTAGTATCCCGTTGTATAGAACATGCCATTTTTTTAGTCATTGACCTAGGATACGCACACGTGATTATACATAGAACAGCTATTTTGTGCACACCTTTTTGTGTGAAAATAAGTTGCCATTTGTTGAGTAAATACCTAGGACTGTAATCGCAGGATCATACGGTAAGTGTATGTTTTATAAGAAACTGCCGAACTATTTCCCAGAGTGGCTTTTCTGTTTTGCATCCCTACCAGCGATATTTTAGAGTTCCGGTTGCTCCACATGCTTGACAGCACTTAACAGTTGTCAGGATATTTTTTTTTCTTTAAGCTGAAAATACACATCAATTTTATTAAATTGTTGCTATGTTCCATTGAAGAACAGTGTAAGGAACTATTTATTATTACAAAGTGCCTATTCTGCATGTTAGGTTTTCCTATTTGGCGCAATAACTTCATAAATATTGGTGTACTGTAATTAATTCAATTTACACCAAGACACCTGCCAGAGGCAATCCAATATATCTAAGAGGGATATGTTCACAACCTCTCTTCATCTCTTTTTATTTTGTTTCTTCCATCATGGTAAGTGTACTCTTGAATCCCTACCACCTATTTTTACCCCTCCTCCCCCCCCCCCCCACCTCCCTGGTGGTGACCATCAGTTTGTTCTTTGTAGTTAAGAGTCTGTTTCTTGGTTTCTCTCTCTCTTGCTCACTCTTTTTTTTCCCTTTGGTTGTTTTATTTCTTAAATTCCACGTATCTGTGAGATCATATGGTATTTGTCTTTCCCTGGCTTATTTCATTTAGCGTTAAACTCTAGCACTATCCATGTTGTTGCAAATGGAAAGATTTCATTCTTTTTTATGGCTGAATAACCTTCCATTGTGTATTATACACCACTTCTTTGTCCATTCATCAGTTGATGGACACTTGGGCTGCTTCCAAATCTTGGCTATTGTAAATAATGCAATAAACATAGGGGTGCATTTTAGTGTTTTTGTATTTTTTTGGTAAATACCCAGTAGTGCAATTACTGGATCATATGGTAATCTATTAATTTTTTGAGGAACCTCCCTACTGTTTTCCAGAGTGGCTGCACCACTTTGCATTACCACCAACGGTGCAAGAGCTTTACTTTTTCACCACATCCTTGCCAACACTTGTTGTTTCTTGTTTTTTGTTTTTTTTTTTTTTTAATATTCTGAGAGAGCAGAGCAGGGGTAGAGAGAGATAGGGAGGGAGAGAGAATCACAAGCAGGTTCTGCTCTGTCAGCGCAGAGCCCGACACAGGGCTTGAACCCATGAACTGTGAGATCATGATCTGAGCTGAAATCAAGAGTCGGACGCTTGACCGACTGAGCCACCCAGGCGCCCCTCTTGGTTTTTTTATTTTAGCCATTCTATTGTCAGTATCTTTTGTTTTTATCATTCTTTTACATGTGCATCAGTATCTGATCATGGTGTTCGGTTGTAGCTCTTCAATGGCTACTTATGCTGAACATCTTTCATATGCTTATTATGCGTGTTATGTCACTCAGTCCTGTCACTCCACAAGCTGTGAGATCATGACCCGAGCCGAGGTTGGATGCTCAACCGACTGAGCCACCCAGGCACCCCAAATGTTGACCATTTTAGAAGTTAAGTTAGTTATTTTCTTACTGTTGAGTTTTGAGAGTTCCTTATAGCCTGTACTCCCCTTTATGTACAAGGCTCCCCCACTGGATGCCTGAAACCATGGATTGTACCGAACCCTATATACTGCGTTTTTTTCCTATATGTGCACACCTATGATAAAGCTGAGTTTCTAAATTAGTCCCAGTTAGGGATTAACAACAACAAATTAAATACGATTATAACCATCTACTGTAATAAAAGTTATGTGAATGTGGTCTCAAACTATCTTAGTGTCCTGTACTCACCCTTCTTATGATGCTGTGAGATGATAAAATGCCCGCATGATGGGATGAGGTGAGGGGAATGACGTAGGTGCTGTGACATGGCGTTAGGCTGCGACCTACCTGATGGTGCCAGAGAAGGAGAATTGTCTGCCTGTGGATTGAGACTGTCCGTAACTGAAACCGCAGGAAGGGAGGGCTGCTGCATTTGGAGTACGAGCTCTTCGTCCAGTATGTGATTTGCAAGTATTTTTTCTCTGCCTGTCGCTTGTCTTGTCATTGTCTTCATAGTAGTTTTTGTAGTTTTTTGTAGATTCACAATATTTTTGTAGTTTTAAGTTTTGATGAACTACAACTTAGCAATTTTTTTTTCTTCTAAGGATCGTGACTTTGATGTCATGTCTAAGAACCTTATCTCCAGTCACTAAAGGTTTTCCTCTTCTTTTTTTAATGCTTATCTATTTATTTTGAGAGAGAGAGAGAATCCCAAGCAGGCTCTGTGCTGTTAGCACAGAGGACAATGTGGGGCTTGAACTCACAAACCATGATTCCATGACCTGAGCCAAAATCAAGAGTTGGACGCTTAACCAACTGAGCCACCCAGGCACCCCTGAAGGTTTTCCTCTATGTTTCTTCCTAACAGTTATGTAATTTTATATTTTATATTTAGATTCATGATCCACTTAGAGTTAATTTTTGTACAAGCTGTGATATTTAGGTTGAGAGTCCTTTTTACGCATGTGGTTATCCAGTGGGTCCAACACCACTGTGGAGAAGACTGCTCTTTATTGAGATATTTTTACATCTTAAAAAATTTTTTTTAATGTTTTATTTATTTTTGGGAGAGAGAAAGAGCAGGAGCAGGGGAGGGGCAGAGAGAGAGGAAGACACAGAATCCGAAGCAGGCTCCAGGCTCTGAGCTGTCAGCACAGAGCCTGATGTGGGGCTGGAACTCAGGAACTGTGAGATCAGAAGTCAGATGCTCAACCGACTGAGCCACCCAGGCGCCCCTACAGCAATTTTTAAAAGTGCGGTAGTGAGGACTTGCACTTGTTTTTTAAATTAAATTAATAAATTTAAATTATATAAAATTAATTAATAAATTTAAATAATCTCTACACCCAGTGTGGGGCTCGAATTCAT